ATAGAAATGCTAAAAAAGGAACTAGAAAGGTGAGATGCCTTAGAGAGAAAAGAAACACAAGGGTTATTTCTGGAGTTCTCCACAGACAAAAGTTAAAGAAACATCAGTAGATCAGATAGCCAAATGGCAGAATGCTAAGTACAAAGCATTGGGAAAATGTGCTAACAAGATGAAAGAATAAAGTTTCAAGTAGAAATAATGACAAGATACAACACAAGAATGGAAGAAACAGACACAAAATGGTACACTATTGAATGAACAGAGACGTGAGTTTAGGTAAGGAAAAGTGGTCAGTAATAAGATGGTACCTGTAATAATAAAACTAATGACAATAAACAACATTTACCAGTGAGTGGGTCAAATATTTTTTATGCATTATTTCAAGTAATCATTGTAGTATCTTCTGAGTCAGGGTTATCATCCTTTCTATTTTCACAGAAGCAAAAAATGTTAGGAAATGACTAATGTAAGTTCATAAAGGTAGGGAACAACAGAGTCTGGATTCAAATCTGGGGCACTTGACTTGAGTGTTCAAGTTGCTAACTATACTCCTTCCTCTCATCAAAAGATGGAAGTAAAAGTTGGGCTTGGTAGCTCACAAATGTAATCCAAGTTATTCAGGAAGCTAAGATCAGGCAGATGGTAGCTTGACGCCAGTCTGGGTACAAAGTTAGTGAAACCATCATGCCACTAATAAAAAGCTGGCTGAGTTGGAATGTGCCTGTTATCTCAAGTACATGAGATGCATAAAAAGAAGGATTATGGTCCAAGCAGGATTGGACAGAAAATGAGAATCTAAAGTAACTAGTGCAAAAAGGGCTCAGATGCAGTTTAATGGTATAGCACCTGCAAGTGTAAGGCCCTAAGTTCAAACCCAGTACCACTACCAATAATAATAATAGTAACAACAATAATAAATTAAAAGATGAAAGATTTTTTTAAAAGCTGTAGGACTTAGTGATGAGGAAGTCATGGGCAAACCATTTCAGCAGGCAAAGACAAGGAATCATGTTTCCAAAGGTTAAAGAAACAACAGCTCGATTAACAAATGGGCTAAAGACTTGAAGAAAGACTTACTTCTCTGAAGAAGAAATAAGAATGGCCAATAGACATATGAAGAAATGCTCAACCTCTCTAGCCATAAAAGAAATGCAAATCAAGACAATGCTGAGATTCTACCTGACCCCAGCTAGAATGCCTATAATCAAGAAATTTAATGACAACAGATGCTGGAGGGGATGTGGCCAAAAGGGAACCCTATTGCATTGTTGGTGGGAGTGTAAACTTGTTCAACCACTCTGGAAAGCAGTATAGAGGTTCCATAGAGCTCCCTTATGACCCAGCAATCCCACTTTTGGGCATTTACCCAAAGGATCACAAACAAGGTCATACCAAAGCTACCAGCATAACCATGTTTATTGCAGCATTATTTACCATAGCTAAGATATGGAATCAACCCAGATGTCCCTCAGTAGATGAATGGATCAAGAAAATGTGAGATATAGATATTGATATATAAATTCTATACCTCTATCAGAAAAAAATGACATTGCCTCTTTTGTTAGGAAATGGAAAGACTTGGAAAAAATCATATTAAGTGAAGTAAGCCAAAGAAACATAGGTCCCATGGTTTCCCTTGTTTGCAATGACTAGTACATGTCTAGAACAAGCAGAGTAGGTCAAAGGCTATGTACATACAACCGACCATATGAGATAATGTTAAGCAAAATGTACCTCAAGACAGGGACACAAGAGGTTTCTTTTTTTCCCCTCTTTCTTGCTAATGTTCTTAATGTACTTACAATACAGTATGTAATTCTTTTGTTTCTATTGTATGTTCTTCCCCCATGGTATAACCCCTGTTTTCACCAGATTTGATGCTGGTGCTCTGCACCTTGTATATATATTTTTGTAATTTGGGGAAGGGAAGGGATATTGCAGAATGCGTAAGTGAGGATGCAGGCTGACCCATTGGGACGACAAGATGTACAAGATACTATTGAAAATGAACTTTACAATGTCAGGGGTTGGAGGAAGGTTGAGGGAGGAGTTGGGGAGGTGGGGAGGAAGTGATGATAGGGGGAAAATAAAGGAAGAGGTAACAATGCTCACTATGAAATGTACTCATTACCATACTCATGTAACTATAACCCCTCTGTACAACATTTTTACAATAAAAAAATGAAAAAGAAGGTTACAATGTGGCTCATGCCTATACTCCTAGCTACTCAAGAAGCTGAGTTATGAGCATCGAGGTTCAAAGCCAGTCTGGGCAGGAAAGTCCATGATACTCTTATCTCCAATTAACCACCAGAAAACTGGAAGCAGAGTTGTGATTTAAAGTGGCAGAGTGCTGGCTTTGAACAAAAAAAGTTCAGACACAGTGCCCAGGCCCTGAGTTCAAGCCCCACGACTGACCAAAAAAAAAAAAGTTTCAATTCCAGTGAGTAGTAGCAGTCTGATGATTTCAAATATAAAAATCTGATCATAAAAAAATATGTTGAGTGAACAGCTCAGTTTTGGAGTTAAGAGATAAGAAGACTAGAAAGCAGAGATTGGCAAAGGATAGGCCATTCTGGGAATGTTTTCATAAGTAAAATTTTTATGGACAGCCAACCTCATCATTTACATACTGTACATGGTACTTCCCTCTTATTGCCACCCCCAGCAGCAAAGCAGAGATGAATGACTGCAGCAGAAACCTTGGATGGTGAAGATTAAAATATTTACCATAAAGCCAGGCACCAGTGTCTCACGCCTATAATCCTAGCTACTCAGGAGGCTGAGATCTGAGGATCATGGTTCAAAGCCAGCCCAGACAGGAAAGTCCGTGAGAGTTTATCACCAATTAGCCACAAGAAAACCAGAAGTAACTCTGTGGCTTAAGTGGTAGAGTGCTCCCCTTGAGCTGAAAAGCTCAGGGACAGCACTCAGGCCCAGAGTTCAAGCTCCACGACCAACAAAAAAACAAACAAACAAGCAAAACTATTTGTCATAGGTTTTTTTACAGAAAAAGTTTACTGTTTTCCAATTATGGGGGTTTGTAAAGTGAAAAAGAAGGAATGAAAAGCAGAGGGAGAATGTTGTCTTATATAAAACAAAACAAAACAAGACAAAAAAAAAAAAAAAAACCTTTCCTAATCAAAGTCCATAGGCAGAAACACACACAGAGATAGCTAGGGGACTTCCATGCCGCATTCTGCACATTACAGCACACTAATTCCTTTGAGTGCCACCTGACAATAAGCCTGGCTATGGGGTTGGCTGGGCCTCTCTTCCCAGAGCCTATTCTTTCTGTATTCCTGTTCCTGAAAACTTCAAGGTAAGTGTTCCCTAAAGCCGTGGAAATGATTCAAGTCTAGAAATAGCTAATCATAAAATCTGAAGAAATCCCAAAATGAAAAAGGTGGTACTAGTCCTAACCACTTAATGACAAACAATTCAGAACAATGCCACCCAGGTAAAATTCAATATCCACACACTTCCCCTGTGTACAATTTCCTTTTGGTTGAGAAGATGATACTTAGTTTCAAAGATAAGCATTAAAGATTGATACAGGATCTTTTTTTTAGATGGGCAAAATCCCCTTGGAAAGAGAAAGTTAGAAAGGTAGTGGATTAAGAAAGAAGCCTGCACTTTGCTTTCTCATAAAAGAATACAAGAAAAATATTCACGTGTAACATTTCGGCACTCTTTGTTTTTAATGTTTAAAACACTAAATCTGGGAAATAACAGTAAACCATAAAGTGCTGGGTGAATATCAGTTCCTTGCAGGAAATAAAAATTTGATTTTTTTAAGATACTGATAAAGTAAAAAAAAAAAAATGTTTTCTTTCCCCAAAGTTCTGCTGCTTCACAAATATTCATAACTTTGTTTTTTGCTCAGTATCTATTGCTTTACTTTTCTTCATTTGGATAATATATATTGACATAAAACATTTACACACTAGTGAGAACTCTAGCAAACTAGAACTCATTGAGTCATATTCGCTAAGATAACTGCAGTTAACATGTGGGCGAAAGCCCGTTCACAAATCTCTATGCCTATGTGAGCAGTCACCTTGAACAGTTTTAATTACTAGGAATGCTAATATTTTATTACACATAACTTTCACATTGTCAAGAAAAAAAAATAAAATGACACCTATTCAAGAAAAAAGAATAGTATAAAGTATACAAAGTAATCTAAAATGACCCCCCCAAAAATCCCTGCCAGTCAATTTCTTTCATCTGTAGAGATCAAGGATTATTCTGGTGGCTGCCATCTTCAGTTTTAATAGCAGACATCTCTTTATTTTTCATTTATGAATTATCAAAGTATCAGCTGAAGTCAGGCACTGGTGGCTCACACCAGTAATCCTTACTTCTCAGGAGGGTGAGATCTAAGAATCACAATTCAATGCCAGCCCAAGCAAGAAAGTCCCTGAGAGTCTTTACTACCAATTAACAACCAAAAAGCTGGAAATAGAGCTATGGCTCAAAGTGGTAGAGTGCTAGCCTTGAGCACAAAAGCTCAGAGACAGCACCCATATCCTGAGTTCAAACCCCAGAATTGGCACCAAAAAAAAAAAAAAAAGAAAGAAAAACCAATAGTAATGATTCCATAAACGCTAAGTGACACATTTAACATACTTGAGCTAGCATTCACATTTAATCTTCAACTCCCAACTTGTTTTCAATACTTTTATAATACCAAGACTTCAAAAATTTACATTTGTAATGTAAAAATAATTCATTTTCCCCTCTTCATCAAGGCTTATATTAACATTTAAAATCCTTTAAGACGGTTTCAAAGTTATAATTGCTTGGGTCTAGGCAGGACCATGATCCTCCTATTTATTCTTTTGTGTAGCAGGGATGATAGGCACACAATACCATGTACTGTCATTGGTAGAAGCCATTTTTCATAGTCTCATCAGGAATGATTCAAATGATATGTCAATTACCCTGATCTGGCTCAGATAAGAGTGAGCAGGAGGAAGTAGCAGGTGCTTCCTTACCTGCTGGGTGGTGCTGGTGACTATCCCCTGCTGGAGTCGGTAAGCCTGCTCTTGAAGGTACTTTCTGGTCTCATGATTCCGTAGCAGGTAGTTTTCTATCTGGAAATTAACCACATGTATCTCTCAAGAACACATTTGGACTCCACAGAAAAAAAAAGTTACTAGTGAAACAGTCAGTTCCTGGATGCAAAACTCAAGCACTGATAGGCACTCTCTACCAATACCTTGACCCAACAAAAACCAAGGGAGGAGGAACGCTAGGGTTTATTACCAGTGTTTTTACTTAGAAAATTAACTTCTGGGTAATTGGAGAAATGTCTGCATGATTCTGTAGCTGAGGAAGGGTTTCAAATGCCATGTAGTGACTTCTCCTCATCAACAAAGACCTCAATCTTGATTTTTTAACTACCAAGCAGTTTAGAAGCTAAACAAATATCCCCAAGGATTCCTACATTTGATTGGTACTATCCAAAAAGAAAATCAGAAAATTCTTTATTGGAGACAGGAGGGGAAGAAGAGGGAATGGGGTGGTAGATGGGGAGAAATAGATATAATAAAGATAAATACTAATCTTAATAATCCATCTGTTTATTGTTTTCTTAAAACAGCACTAATTTTTTGAAATTACAGCAAATAAAATGGATTTCTACAGAAAATGAGGGATCTTGAAGTTGTTTGACAATCTGTATGTTTATACACACTCATAAAAACTGAACCTAAAGTGATAACTAGATTGATAGAAAGCATCTAAAAAGAATAATATACAATGGGTACGCATTGAGCAAAAAATACAGAGTTAACTATTCAGAATAAGATACCCACAAAGATATTTTACCAAGAATAATTTGAGATGCTACATTATACCATCCGCTTCTCCCTCTACCCCACCACCTAATTGTTTTTGGTTGCTTTTAATAAGACTGCTTAACCATTTTGCTTTTAATTTGTCTCTGCGGCCCCTTGGTTAAAAACTTTTAATAATTGTGATGCTCTCATTATTGTTACATGTTAATTCTCATTTTCAATATGCTAAAATGACTGCTACTTAATAGCAATTAGAAACAATTAAAATAGGAACTGTAATTACTATTATCCCTGGAAACTATAAAGCAAAGCAAAATGTACCTTTCTACAAACGTAAGTGAGGAAATTTATAAAAATGAAAAGACCCTCCAAATGAATAATTAAAATGACACATTAATGCCTTGACATTATATTACATTAACTTTCTCTTGCTGCTTCCCAAGAAGTCATCTCTTTCCAAGGTGACTCCACCATCAGCAGAAAATGTTTTGCTAGAAAGACTGTGAAATACAAGGCTGATTCTCACCCTTAGCAGGAGGGTGGTGGAGAAAAGGGAGAAATAAGGGGCCATCAGTTGTCCAGCTGTCCTTACTCTAGGCCAGCTGAAACTCTGATGAAGTACTTTCCCACAAAGGCAAGTATCCATCATGTAGAACCAGATACCCTGGATGTATTTAAAAATGATTACTTCTCCCCAACTTCCTGCCAGAAACCTAAGGGAAATTTTTCTACAGAAAAATCTATACTGTGACAGCCACATGGGATTTCTGGAAAGAAAATTCATGAGGATTGGAGCCTCCATAAGAAATGGGCCTCCAGGAAGAGAGAGAGAGAGAGAGAGAGAGAGAGAGAGAGAGAGAGAGAGAGAGAGAGAGAGAGAGAGAGAGAGAGTGTGTGTGTGTGTGTGTGTGTGTGTGTGTGTGTGTGTGTGTGTGTGTGTCCCCATCCTCAGTCCCAGGGAAATGGGCCTCTAGGAATCGTTTAAGAGTGTGTGTGTGTGTGTGTGTGTGTGTGTCCCCATCCTCATCCAGTCCCAGGTACTATCCCTGAGCTTTTGTGCTCAAGGCTAGCGCACTACCACTTGAGCCACAGCTCCACTTCTGACCTGGAGGTGTTTAATTGGACATAAGCATCTCAGGTTTTTCCTTCCTGGCCTAGCTTTGAACTATGATCCTTGGATCTTCTGAGTAGCTAGGATTACAAGCATAAGCCACCAGTGCCGGGAAAATTTTTTAACCCTTAAACCAGTCCATAATAAACACCCAGCATTTTATCACATAATGTTTAAGTGTCTTGGAATTACTGATTCTACTGGCTTCTGTTCCTGAAAAGCTGGTCTCAGCTATGAGTCAGTAAAGATCTTCTTATTTGTACTCTCTTTAGTTTTCGGAGTGACTGGTAATCTAAGAAATGTGTTGATTTTCTGGTTTCTTCAGCTTTTTTTTCCTAGTTGTAAGAGGGAAAGTGATTACTGTTAAGCAAATCTGAAACCCAAAACCAAGTTTTTCTAAAGTATGTCTTTTATTCTAAGCTGGCTAAAATCCCTTCAGAAAGATCAGACATCTAACATTTGTATGTTACTTTGTCTGATACTTATGTGACTATAGGCAAATTACTCTCCCTGCAGTTCAGTATCCTTATCTGCAGAAATGGGGATGTGACACAACCCACTTCATGTGCTACCTAAAGAATGACATGTTAATTTATGAGAAGCATGTAAAACAGTGCCAGGCACCCATATGCTAAACCATGTTAACCATCTGCTAAGCATAATAATGGCTTAGCTTTAGTTTTCCTTTTCTACAGATGAAAAAAAAAACCCTGAAGTTCAGAAAAATCAAGTAATTTATGGAATGCTACAAAGCTGAAAATAGTTTGTTTTGAAGTTAGATCTTTTGAATCCAAATCATGGATGATTTCTTATGTCATACCAGCAATTCCACCACGCCATCTTATTTCTTTTCATTTAACAAATGTCCAGGAAGTACCTAAGCATGCATTCCAGGCACTGTACTAGCTGCCAAGAATTAAAAATGTGAAAAATACATAAGCTCTGCCTTCAAGGAATTTTTGGTCTGTTGGAGGGGAGGAGGAGGAAGGTGAAGGCAGATAATTTAAAACAATGTCCTAAGGCCAATAACATAGAGAAACATGAGGAATCCTGAGAGGAGTGTACTCCTCAGGGAACAGGGTGCTGTGTGAAGTGTTTTTGGATGACCAGACAATTGATTTCAATCCCAACAGACATGCATGCTGATGTGGAAATTCTCAACAGTGGCTACACTATAGAACAGCTCTCACAATCAGGAAAGCTGCTTTGAACAGATTTGCTAAATCCTACTCTGTTTTTGGGGTGCTGGGATTTGCATTTCTGAGTTCCATAAGGTAGAACAAAACTGAAGTTAAGAGTTGGTAAGAAATGGAGTGGGAGGTGGAGAGAAAGCAGATCTTGGGCAGAATTCTCTGTGCTAAGGAGACTCAGAATGAGGGAATAATGCTTTTAGTCTGCTCAGATTTATCCTGAAAGTTTCTTTACCACAACATAGAAAAGAGACAAGAGGAGCCAAATGTGGCAATGGTCATGGTGAGAAATGGTAAGATTTGAAGAAAGGTATCTATATGGAATAGAAGGAAGAGAGCTAATGTGATCAATCTGGGGAAGGGAAAAAACAAGCTTAAGAGACTGGCTATAAAGAGAACAAAGATTTCAAAAGCTCCCTAAACAGCACTATAGGTGGAATAGACTTCTCTGGGTAAGATATTGAGCACATCCAAAATGGAAATCAAAGTAGCAATAATAAAGAGATAGAAAAAGAATGACGCAAAGGGCAAGCACCCAAGCCCACAGTAGAAATGATAAAGTCTACACCATAAGAAAATACGTAGGCCCTCAAGGCAAGGAATCCAATATCCCCCAAGTTTGTAGGAAAGGAAATAGATGTGCATATAGATTTAAATGCATATATAGATGTTGATGTATACCCATACATACTATGCATTTTATAGATGGTGAAGTAAGGTCTCAAAAATAGTCTAAACTTCTTTATAAAAAGGCAAAATCCAGGTCCAGTGGCTCACACTTACGATCAGAGCTATTCAGGAAGCTGGGATCTGAAGATTGTGTTCTGAATCCAGCGTGGGCATTAAAGTCTGTGTTAGAATCTCATGTTGAGTTAACCATCTAAAAGCCAAAAGTGGAGCTGTTGCACAAGTGGCAGAGTACCAACTTTGAGAGAAAAGACTAAGGGACAGCACACAGGCTCTGAGTTCAAGCCCCTTCGAAGGGGAAGCAAGTTATACCTAATGAACCCGACAGCAGGGAGGCAGGACACGTTGTGCCAACTGCCATTCAATTCCTCATATTCTCAAAGAACGATGGGGGAGTTATCTATGCTCTGGTGCCAGCATGGTTTTGCTGAAAGACTGTTATTGCAATCCACTCAAATTTTGACAAGTTTTAGTCTTCACAATTTTATTCCTCCCCCAGTCATGCATTATGCCAGTCGTGATCTTAAAAATACGTGTAAAAAAATAGAAAGCTTTCTAAAATAACAAAGCGCTATTCATACATTCAGAATCATTACTAGCACAATTCTAAAGTGATTTTCATTGTAACTGAGCTATTGATTTGTCAGTACCTTTTGTAGAGCCTCTTCTGTTTTCTCAGGATTCGTTTTAAGAGCTTGAGAAGCATCATACATGGGAATTGGCATAAATCTCAATGTGTAGTTCCTAAAGACAAAATTATATACTCATTTTAAAATAACTTTCTACTGCCTTTAATTCAGCACTCTGTTTTTACAATCCAAAAAGACAGCTAGAAGCTGCAAGATTAGCTTAAAAAACAACTCAGTCACCAGATCACCAAATCCCTACCTATCTGCTATACAGAGAGAAGACTGGTCTTTAGTATATACACATAGATTACCTTGTTCATTCATATGGTCCTATAAAATTAACACAGCATTGAGGAATGTGATTTGCTGTTGTTTTGAAACACACCAAGCAAAAAATTTTCAATGGGGATCAGAAAGATAAGACTAAAAGAAAGTGTAGGGAAAAATATCGACCAGCAACTTGCTGCATGGGTTGTAGTAACCCATAGAATGGACTTGGGTTGCTATATTGAGATTGGAAAGCAAAGCCATTAGCATATGCCCTCAAGGAGTGATTGTCTCTAGAATATGCCACTGGGAAAGGATGTTCTGCCTGGCTAAACACCCTGTGACCCCCGAGAGTCCTTTGCCCTTGCTTTTAGCTTCAGCTAGGTCTAAAAACCACATGACACAATTGTGGAGTGCAGACCATATATTATGTCATTGTTACTGGCAGGCTGGTTAGACAAGTGAGTCATTTTGAGTAAGAAGGACTTACAGAACTCTAAGACAGGCCTCTGACTCTGCTTCATTCTGGCACGTACCCAAATGACTACTAACATTTGCTATCTATACAGTACATGTCTTCTTCCACCCATTCTGAATTGCATTTGTCCATTTCTATAGCCTCGTACTCGACGAAAAATCTTTTGGTGGCAACTGAGTTGTTCTCCTTATGCACTGGAACTACACAATACATTGCCTTGTCTTAGATCTGCAAACAATAAGCCTCACTCATGGTGTTTGTCTCATGGACTGCTGTTGGTGTGTAAATTAATAACTGAGTCTTCAACTCAGGGCCTGGGTGTTCTTTCTGTTTTATTTTTTGTTGTTGTTGTTTTTTGTTTTTGTTTTTTTTTTCTCAAAAGTGGCACTCTAGCACTTGAGGCTTTTTGTGGTCAACTGGAGATGACTCTCACAAACTTTCCTGGTAATACTGGCTTTGAACTATGATTCTCAGATCTCAGCTTCCCAAGTAGCTAGAATTACAGGTGTGACCCCCACCAGTACCCAGCTAATAACTAATCCTTAAAATACAGTATTATGAAAAAATTAAGAAAATAATCATCTTGTAATAATAATAATTTAGGTGGACGTTATTTCATGAAAACAATATTCATTCAGTCCAACTTCCAGGATGAGTTGATACAGACTCAGATAAAGAAAAGGAGGTTAATTTCTGCATCTTAATTTTTATTGTAGCTTTATTTCAGCAAAGTTGTTTGGTTATCCTAAAAGAAGCCAGCCAACTGGAACTAAGAGAAAATATGTCTTCTTTTATAGCCTTGAGGACTTTCCTTTTCCTCATCCAATTTTGATCATGTTACAGATCAGCATAGCTTATTTAAGCCAAATGTGACTTTAAAGCACTGGTCTTGGAGACAGCACACATGACAGACTGGGATCAAGGCAGGCTATAGACCATCTGGAAATGTTGGGGACTGAGTGCACATGCTTGCGCTTCTTGTAAGCTTCCCTCTGGGTTAGATCTATGACAAGATCAGGGTGGCCGCTGTGACATTAACACCCAAATGCAGCTGTAGATCAAAAACTGTTCCTACAAGGGGTTCTGGTTTATAGATAGAGCTGTGATAGGTGGTTCTGTAATCCCAGAGAGATTTGGGAAGGGGGGTGGCATGTGGACTTACTAGTGTAAGATGCTTTACCATTATTTTATGATGGCCCAAGGTTAGCAAAAAAGAGACTGAATGAAGTGCCCCTAATTGTGTCTGAAATACCATGCTGGGCCAGAGAGCTCTTCACAGAGCCCTTCCAACACAAGGAAATCTGTGGAAACACACAAGTGTAAGCACTTCCTCTCCTTTCCCAGGGAAGGTCTTCTATCCATGGCTCCCTTTTTCCCACCACATTTGAATGCTAAGAATCTGTTTTTGACCACTTCTGTCCTTATAACATATGAAAGTTGTTGATAGCAAGATGACAAAGTTCTTGTCAGATTCAGGCAAACTATAGCCAGGAAGTGAAGGGCTCCAATGGGCCTGTCCTAAGTACATACTGATTTAATGACATTCTCAAGTCCCACAGAGATTCTTTCTCATTCTACATGTATCTTAAGGCTTTGTATTATTTTTTTTTGGGGGGGAAGGGGGATCTGGTCATGGGCCTGAACTCTGGGCCTGGGTGCTGTCCCTCAGCTCTTCAGCTCAAGGCTAGCACTCTACCACTTGAGCCACAGCACCACTTCTGGCTTTTTTTTTCTTCTGCTTATGTGGTGCTGAGCAATCGAACCCAGGGCCTCATGCATGCAAGGCAAGCACTCTACCACTGAGCTACCTTCCCAGCCCTTATATATAGATTTTTTTTTTTTTTGGGGGGGGGGAGGGGTTTAGTCGTGGGGCCTGAACTCTGGGCCTGGGTGCTGTCCCTCAACTCTTCAGCTCAAGGCTAGCGCTCTACCACTTGAGCCACAGTGCCACTTCTGGCTTTTTTCTTTTTGCTTATGTGGTGCTGAGGAATTGAATCCAGGGCCTCAGGCATGCAAGGCAAGAGCTCTACCACTGAGCCACCTTCCCAGCCCATATAGATTTTTTTTTGGGGGGTCCAGTTGTGGGCCTGAACTCTGGGCCTGGGTGCTGTCCCTCAGCTCTTCAGCTCAAGGCTAGCGCTCTACCACTTGAGCCACAGCGCCACTTCGGCTTTTTTCTTTTTGCTTATGTGGTGCTGAGGAATCGAACCCAGGGCCTCATGCATGCAAGGCAAGCACTCTACCACTGAGCTACCTTCCCAGCCCACATATAGATTTTTATAACAGAGTTTGTCTCTGTCTTTTGTGTGTGTGTGCTGGTGCTGGGGCTTAAGGGTTTAAATTCAGGGCCTGAACTTTTTTTGCTCAAGGCTAGTGCTCTACCACTTGAGCCATGACTCCACTTCTTGCTTTTTGATAGTTTATTGGATATTGAAGTCTCATGGACTTTTCTGCCCAGACTTGCTTTGAATCATCATCAGACCTTGGCCTCCTGAGAAGCCTGCATTACAGTTGTGAGCCAGTAGTGCCCAGCTCTTTAATCATTCTTTAAGACAGCAACAGCCAGCTGTGGTGGTTGCAGGCCTGTTATCCTCCCACTTGGGAGGCTAACGAAGGAAGCTTATGAGCCTGGACTACACAGTGAGACACTATTTCAAAACAAAACATAACAAAACAAAACCAGATTGCGAAACTTGAGACAACATGTTTTGGATAGAATACTTGCCCCAAAACAGAACCTTCACAAATGAGCTGATCTCATCTCCCACCTTGGGTCTTAAGATTAATCAACTTTGAATCTGAGTAGGTCCAGTGAATATCTCCCTTTGTGCCCCAAAAATTTTTGCCTTGTTTCAACTCCTTTGAAAGTACCCATACTTTACAAAGGCACATGTATTCCAACTGTAATGTTTTGCTATTTCCAGATAAACACTATACTTTGGAGGATCTTGATTGTTTTTTAGTTTGAAATATAAGAATTAAAAAGGCCAGTGAAAACCATTTGTAGTATTCTTTCCAGCATGCCCAATACATCAGGAGAAAGTTAATGTCTTCCAAGGCCCTAAAGCTGATTACAGTACAAAAAACTTGGACTCAGATCTAGTCCCTAATGTATTTTTGCTTCTACTGTTCCACATGTTATACCAACACCACTGGCTCTCTTGTATTTTTTCACAAAGGAATCCATTCAAACTTACTTTTCCATAGCAACAGCTATATCTTGAAAGCCTTGTGCAGTGATATTGTTCTTGTCCCATATTACAGTCCTGTTGAAAAACCAAATAATAGAAGTGATCAGACTCTTGGAAGTGAAGAAAATGTTTCTCTTTCTGGGTATCTATAACCTATGAGCAAGAAGATGTATTTCACAACAATGTCATTATGTCAGCAAGGAACAGTGATCAACTTCATTTCAAACACAAGGGTGAATGTTTGCCCCAGCATTATGTTCTTTGGGGGAGCTGGTGGAAATTAAACCCAGAGTCTCATGCATTCAACACATGTGCTCGATAGCTGGGCTCTACCATCAGTTCCAACATTATATTTTTAATTTATCACTTGGGTAATATGAAAATACTATACCTACACCTAAAAGCAGAACACTTAACACTGCAATACCTAACATTTTATCATCTAGAAAGCTTTAATGTCTGATTCCTCATTTATCTTCCCAACAGTACCTTTGTATTAGAAACTATTTGCAAAAAAAAAAAAACAAACAAACATGATACTTTGCAAGAGATGGGAAACATATGCAATTTCAGGTACTGAGACTTTCTCCATTCTAAAACACTAAAAAGAACTCTGTCATACACTCTTACATTTTCACCAGTTTCTGCCCTACTGTATCAATCCTAAGAACTTTGCTCACTGTGCTGGCAAGACCTCTGTTACTATAAATATGAAGTTGTTGACGTGTTAAGCACAAAATCTATTTTAAGGGGAAAAGAATTACTTTACCTTCAGAATGTGTATACATCAGAGGTATTTTAGAATTTGTCAGCTAACCTTGACACGTAGGAATCAATCGTTTCCAGTTGCCTAGATGAATCCCAGCCCCACAAATTTGTTTTCCTGGCTCTAATCTTAATGACCTTCTCTGCACAGACACTGACCTCCAGAGACATTGTTGCTGGTCTAGTCTTTAACTTCAGTTTAGAAAGTAGGTTCAGATTCTGTCTTATGCTAAAAAGAAGAAACATTAAGAAAGAGCTCCAGGGGAAGAATGGGGGTTAACTTTTTACTCACCAGACTGATGAGTAGCTAGTGGCAAAACCTGCTTGATCTTTCTGAATAATGGATAGCTACAAGGTGAAGGCATAACTAATCCTTAGGAAAAGGCATGCTTGCCTGATGCACTCATGCCTATAATCCTACCTACACGGGAGGCTGAAATTGGGAGGATCCAGGCTACAGGCCACGGAGGAAATAACTTCATGAGACTCTATCTCAAAGAATAAAATGTTGGACATCAAGGTGTGAGGCTGCTCTCTCAGTTAGACAGAGTATAACTAGAATCATGGTACAGCCTGCACCTAAACATAAATGCAAAACCCTAACTGAAAAATAATGAGAGCAAAAAGGGTTGAGGATGTGGCACAGTGGTAGAGCACCTATCTAGCAATACAAACACTGCCAAAGAAGATGGAAGGGGAGAGAAGGGGACAAGGGAAAAATCAGCCACGCTTAGGAAACATTATAGATGAAAACTGCCAAGCAGAACAAGTTAAAAGTCCAAAGTGAACTTGCTTTTGAAGCAGTAAACCTCTCGTATGCCTTGTGTTCTAAGTTTTTATGTTGGCAGGGGTAAAGAGGGAGCAAGCACTTGGTCTCACACCAAATACGAGATGTTGAATAAGGACATTTTGGTCAACAAAAGACTACAAATCCTATTGCCTAGTTATGTTGTGGCCTATATAGTTTATGTAAGTACATTCTGTGACTTTGACAGAAAATGAAATCTACCAATATATCACTCAAAATGTATCTCATCCCCTGACAGGGCGATATGTGAAGTTGTGAAAGTAAAGCTAGAGCTGCATTGGACAAGCCAGGAATTTGGAGATCCCAGGACTGTAGACTGAGCACAGTCAGCTAAAGAGAGTAGCCATGTGGACACCAATGGTTGTCTACCCATACAGACAGGGCTGCCCAAGCACGCTGAAGTTCACACCACACCATCATGTGACCCAGGACTATACATGGTGATGAAGTATTTAATGAATGTGGTACTCCCCATAAAATCTGTCATCACTAAGTGATACAAAACCATGTGGGAAATGTCTGTCATTACTTCTGACTGTCCAGCTCTACTCACTTAGTACTGCTTATAAAACCCTCCTTCTTCCTTACTGCCATTGCCCACAGTGATAAGACAAATGTTAGTTCTATAAGAGCACACGGTCCCCGATTCCAGGGCAGGTCCTGCCTACCTGAGCTTGGTGTTGATCTGCAGGGCTTTGGCAAGCATCTTTGCTCCCATGTCCCCCATCCCATTCCCACTGATGTCCACTTTGGTCAAAGAAGTGTTGCTTCCCAGGGCATTGATGATGATGGTGACATCAGTCTTGAGTTTGGAGTCAGCCAGGGATAAGGACTGAAGAGGCTGTGGAGCAAACACAGGCTTCACTTAATAGTCTTGTCAAAGCAGAGCCACTTGCTAACCCTGTTTTCTGGAGTATAACAGTGTCTGATTTTGGACATACTGCCTAAATACACTAGTAATAGAACCTGAAGGTTCTGGCATTAAACAGACTTTTAGAAGGAAACATGAAGAGTGTTTTACTGACAATGGTAATTAGTCCTCTCTTCTTCTCCTTTTTTAAAACAATTTTTTTGTGCCAGTTCTGGGGCTTGAACTCAGGCTAGTCACTGTCCCTGAGCTTCTTTTGCTCAACACTAGCATTCTACCACTTGAGCCACAGTGCCACATCTGGCTTTTTCTGTTTATGTGATACTGAGGAATCAAACCCAGGGTTTCATGCATGCTAGACAAGCACTCTACCACTAAGACACATTTCCAGCCCCAGCCGTTCTCTTCTTAGGGAAGCTATGGACCAGTTCTATTCAAGTAGGAGACGGGATGTGATAAATAAAATCACAACACAAAAATTTCTCAGCTTGGATAGAGTTGCCTTGTTCCTTTTTAGTCATTCTATACTTACACGAGGCTAAATGGCATCTTAAAATACTAAGAAGACAAATGTAAACTGAAAACCAGCCAAGATGAACAATGTCCAACCAAAGAGTGTTTACTGAATATTAAGGACTTCTATCCACTTTTTACATGGCTTACTTCACGTTTGCCTCCTAGTCATCTATAATTCAGGTACCCAGGTATCACTGTTTTCCTTATTTCCCCAATATGAAACAGAAAGGTAAAGTGACTCAACCAAAGTCATGTGACTAGAAAGCAAGTGAAGTGAGTAGCAAACAATCTGAATAGTCTGGGTCCAGATTTGGGGACTCAGAGTAACTATATCACATTGCTTCAATTAACTTTTCCTAGAGATTGACTATTATCCTTTAACTTCATCTTTTAAGTTTCAACCAGGAAATAGTTCTATAATTAAAGGAGAAAAATCAAATCTGTGTGATCTTTCTTGCTTTATCATATATGGTATAGTGAATCCAAACCAGCAGACTTACTATCCATTTAAGCAAGAGATGGACTGATAGGTATTTAGACTGAGAGTAGGTTTTGTTCAGCCTGTAGAGTATGTGACTAAATAAATATACGAATGTAAGTTAGGGTTTCTTACATATACCCAGCTCACTGTACTTCGTTGTTTTCCTACTTCTAGGAGCCATTTGGGTTTACAATGCTTGATATAGGTCACGACTTATCAGGGAAAGTATGATTTCCAGGGCTTGAACCAATATGGCACTAAAAATAGAATTCAGATCTGGGGGAGCTGGATGTCTTCTGGTTTGTATGGAGGGATCTAGACTGTTCCTATTTCATAAGCAACTATGACATTACAGGGAAGTGAATGCAGGGAGCATTTATCTATCATCAAATTCTACTCTATGGTGCCTGGATAGTCTCTCTAATGACCCCATTCACAGTCTAAGGTCTATCTCTGTCTGTTCACTCACTCCACACTGATTTCCAATATAGCATGTGAGAAAGGAACATCTACCAAATGAGTACAGGAGACTGGCAGGTACCAATGACATCAAGAGTCCAACATCAAAAAGGCAACATTGTATATTTGATTCATACCAAGTGACTATACTTATTGTCCATCCAAATTACATCATGCTTTCCAAACTTACCTTGTATGTGGTAAAATCCAAAGGCAATAGCATATTCATTAGAATCAAAATTATGAAAAAATTAACTAGTAAGTACTAAGGCAATTAAACTCCCAGACCAAGCTATGTACTGGTGGCTTAGGAGAGCTGATGGGAGGCTGACACTGTAGGAATCAAGACTCAAGGCCAGTCCAGGTAGAAAGAAGTTTACAAGACTCCTTCTCAATGAAGAACAACAAGTGGTGTCACATGCCTAGCTAGAGAGGAAGCCTAACATGGGCAGATCATCTCCATACAGGAAATAGCCTATCAGAACAATAACCAGTAAAAATCAGGGCTGGAGGCTTTCTCCATGGTAAGAATGTTTGCTTAGCAAGTATAAAGCTCTGAGTTCAAAATCTCCATACTTCACACAGAGAAAACCCACAACTGAGCTTAAAGTCTGCTTATGTTTAGACTCACATTGGATTGGCTCACATAAAATAGGCTTTAGTTTTCTTAACATCTTACATTCAGGCAAATGGAAAAGCAACGAAAAATGCTTTGGATGTGGGCCACTTAGTGTTTAAAATAAAACACCAACAAATATAATACTACTTTAATCAAAAGCCACAGTCACATCTCTCATAATTTCAATAATCTCTATTTAGATACTAAGAAAATGATACATAATGGCTTCTTCTTAGTACTGGAATACTAACAACTCACCAAAGGAGCAAGCACCAATTCCAGCCCACATTCAAATTCTAATACACTCCAGTTAACACTTAAAAATAATAGGCAGAGTCATTAATGCTTATTGCATGCAATTCTGAAGAGCCAAAAATGCATGCATATTTATAAGGTCATCCCTTTTTGATTTATTGCATTTACACATAGTATTACTATCTGAATTCTTACTATTTCTTTTCATAATTTAACCTGAGATTCTGCCTCCTGGCTTCTGTTAGTCCATGGGGAAACACATACTGTTTGGTTTGTTAGAATACAGGTTTGTAGGTAATACTTCAGAACAAGATTCTCTGCTGACTTCACCCTCACATGGGTGCAATAACCTGAAAATCACTGTCTTTAGCTGAAATTACAACGAAACCCACTGTGTCTAGATTGTGAAACTGAATATATGGTATGATTCTGAGTAAGTTGTCTCATGGGCTGTCAAAAAATGAGCTCTATAACAACAAAGAATATCAAAAGCAGAGATTACTTCTGCATATGTCAAATGCTTAAATAAATAAAACAAAAAAATGAGCCCAATTGTACCAGTGTTCTGTGGAATATTTGAAATCACAACTGTCAACTTCCTATTATTTTAAATTGTTTTGCATACTACTAATTCAAAAATAGGGGGAAAACCTAATATGGTTGCTTTTTTGAAAGATACCTACTTTTAAGTGACACAAAAATAAAAAGGATTCATTATATAGGCCATTAGCAATACACTAATCAAACACAAAACTTCACAGAACTTGCAGTAAACTTTATCATCCTCAAACAGTTCTTACATGAAGTCTAAGTATCTTTAAGTAAGAGATTTCTAAAATTACAGGAAGTTTGAAGATCTGTATGCAATAAGCAAAACATGAAATATAGACTTGTTATAAAATATAAAATTTTCCAAATTCTGTGCTAGGAAAAAAATAAGGGTGAACATGAAGTATGAGTTTATAGTTTCCCTGATTTGTTAAAAATGGTCCAATATTGGCAAATATTAAACATAAATAAAGCAAGGTGGTGAAAAATCAAATTAAGTATGCAAAACAAATAGTGTAATTCTGAAAAGTCGGGTTTATCAGAATATATGGCTGAAGTAAAGTATTTGGATTCAATAATGAGTTTAATTTTTCGGCCCACAGGTTAAAAATTCTTGTCATACAATAAAAAACCAGAGGACAGATTCTTGCAATAGATAGGAAGATGAAGACAAGGGCAAGTTCAGTCCTTCTACCCTTGGGCCTCATAACTTTCTCAGAAAAGTCAGCTGACTCATTTAATAGATTTGCTATTAATTCCTGGCAAGAATTCAAGAGGGAAAAAGATAATTTTTCAAAATGTGACATACTTCACCTGATGAATTTAAGAAATCACCTGATGACCTACAAGAACAGCTGTTCCAAAACACAAATGATGTGATTCATCACAATAGGAATACAAATTGATGTGTATCTTTAGAAACTCTAAAAGCTGTATCATTTAACCAAATAGAATTTTGACAGGAAAGGGTCAAAATCTTACCTGAGAGTTTTCATACATTATATGGTATGACATATCAGTTCTAAACTAAATGAATCCATGATAGAGTGCTTCTACTCTGTAAAATATCCTTTATTTTTCTCATGCATTTTAAAGAGAAGCAAAATAGGATATGATTTAAAATTAAATTTCTTTACCCTGAATTAGGTCTTGGCCAGCAGTAACTACAGGGGATTAAAATAACAGGAGGATTCCTAGGGCTCAAGAAGCAATTTAAGATGGGAGCCTTAACATTCTACATAATCACTTGATGAAGTCCAAACCAATATACACAGTGTTTCTCAGCATTATATTAAGGTCAAAAAGTCAGTAAGATTGTCTGTAGATTACTGTGTTAGCTAATGTTAGGTAAATTAAAAGATAGGCTCAGGAGTCAATTTATACTTTAAAAACTGTTATGTACAATCTTCCTTTAGTAATGAATTGAATGAAGAATAAACTCTTAAAATACTCTACAACTCTATTAAAGAAGATCTATTCCATTAAAAAAATAATGACATAAAACATAAATAAAATTATCTGAAAGCATTTAGGCATTAACCCAGTAGAAACAGCAGGAAAATGGCAACAGACAAAAGATTTTAGTCAAAGTATTTAAAATTATACTCACTGAGTCTTCTTCTTGAATCATCTGTACTAAGTTGTCCAATACAGGTGTCAGATTTCTAAAGAGATTTTAAAGATGTGGACAGTGGAATCAAATCAAAAGTTTTCAGGAGGCTGGTTATTTTCATCATTTTATTTTCAACATATTAAAAAAAATTCAAAACTCTTACTTGGATTTCATATTATTAAAATTTTTGCCTAACGCCAGGTGCTGTATTGATCTGTTCTTACTGAGCCACACTATTAAGGTAGATAGGTCAGATTCTAAACCTGGAAAGAAGCAAGAGTAAATAGAAAATCAAAACACATGTATTTAAATGACTTCTCATTGTTGACACACAATTGGATAACTTCCTGTACCAAGCTCAAGGTCCAACCTTTTATTGTCAACAGAACTTACAGCTCTCCTGAGGGACAGCGCCCAGGCCCAGAACCAAAAAAAAAAAAAAGAACTCACAGCTCTCTTTTCAAGTCCTATTAGTTCATAGGGATAAACTCATTCTCTACTAAGACTTATCTAAACCTTTTATACAATCAGTAGCTAAACAAAGTCAGCAAGATTTGAGACTAGATAATGGCAGAATCTCATCTTTTCCCATCTTTATGTAAGAGAAGATCCCAACATATTATTCACTGATAGGTAACCATAAACAAAGTTTTCTATACAGATTCAACAGGTTCATAATACAATCAGCAAACTGAACCTAATTAAAGAGGATTAAGAGCATAGTTTTACTACTATCAAGATTGAAAAAAGTTGGGCTCAGGTTTTACCAAAGTATGGATGTTATTATTATTATTTATTATTATTTAATGGGCTATTTTCCTGTAGTATTTAGTCTAGGAAATCAACTTAGTAGAAAAGCTCTCTTAGTCAACAATTGCAATAATTCGCTTCAAATAACTTGCTTCAAATAGCATTTCCATTACTTTTCTGACTCACCATTGTCAGAGATGTCTAAGCGGGTGATATTGTGTACTTCAGCAATGCAACCTTCCAAGACTTGAGCCCCTCCTGACCTCAGCTAGAGAAACAACCAAACACAAAGTCAAGTCCTCACCTATTGCAATTATAACCAAAGCTTAAAAATAGGACAAAAGAAAATAAAAATATAAAGTTTATCTACCCTAAAACCAAACCAAACTATTACCAATGACAAAATGTTACCATCACTTGATGGTAAGGAAAATAAAATATTTAAATTAATTTAAAAAATTTAAGTTAAAATTTAAGTTTATATTAACTTTATACTCTTTACTGATATTCATGCACACATGAAACTAACATGTTTCCCAGGACTTAAAAATAATCAAAGGCATCCCTAATTTGCTGCCTCAGGTACTTACACAATGGCCAAGCTAATGAAAGCACAAGGAGAAAAATAAGACATTATCAATAGGCAGAACAAAAATAAAGAAGTCAAAGTCTCTCTCAGTATACAGTGTAAAAAAGCAAAAATACTTCTAACTAAAATGTGTTCCTGAGACAAAAATAAATTTTTTTCAAGAAAATAACTGATCTTCAGTTAGCAAGACTATTCAATTAAATTTAGAGGTTACTAGGTGCCTAAAATTCCCCAACAGCTAAAGCTTTCCCACAACAGTAAGAGCTTTTCCATTACTATAAATGAAAAATCCTTTTAAATAAATTTGCATAATTGAGCCATGTGGGTAGGTGTGCTTATAAAACTGGTTTTTAAATTTTATCTCACACACTAGGATTATTTTTTAAAAAGCCAGATCAAGAGAAGAAGGCATGTGAGGTACTATGCCTAACTGTTGAACACTTTTCCAAACGTTAAAAATGAAACCATGTTTCTTTCAAAAGAAATGTCCTCTCACTCACAAAAAATGGATCATTTTAGAAAATACTTATAATTTTGAGTTATATATCTATAGCTGAGGCAAGGGAAGAAAAAGCCCTAAAATCTAGAATCTTTAATAATACTGCCTCAAGATCACGTACCAATTAAAAAGGTGGGTAATTTTTTAAATTTAAATATAAAGTGATCTCCACATTACCTATTTTTCTCCTGTCGTCTCCATTTTTAATAAATTTATCTGGGGAATTTTCACACACAAAACTCAAAAAATAATGCAGTTTTCTCTTATGATATCAAAAATACCAATTAGCATCTATTTCAAATGTCCAACTCCTATCAGGGTATAATGCCAAGTAGCATTTTTAAAATATTTTTTGTCATATATGAAATCTTTCCAAGGCTGCATGTATGATATGGTTTAATATACTTAACCTTTTCAGTTTTGCATTCATACCTGGCCTGACATGTAAGGGACAAAGAATGCTTACCTCCAGTCTGGTTGAATGAGTGCCAGATTAAATAGAAGAATTACCTTGAAAGTTTCTACTCCTTTTTTGAAATTTCTTACTCATTTCAATTTTTAATATCTGGTGCTCTTTTTCTATTCATTATCAATGGCAATGAATCGTGGAATAATCTGCAGGAACTGTTCCCAATGGAACCACCTCTCACACCTTGACCTTTTACGTCTTCCCTGAAATATCAGAGATTCTTCTGGTACTTAGAAGGAGACTAATCTTAAAGAATTCATTTTCAGCCTTTATCTGTTCTTCTCCTGAGATGGGACTGAGAAGTAATTCAGTTTTCTTTTCCTATTTTTTTTCCTTTTTTTGTCAGTCATGGAGCTTGAACTCTGGGTCTGGGTGCTGTCCTTGAGCTCTTTCAGCTCAAGGCAAGTGCTCTACCACTTGAACCACAGCGCCACTTCCAGTAATTCAGTTTTCTAAAACACATCACAGCCAGGTGTGAGAGGGCCCACCTGCAATCCCAGATCCTCTAGGAGGATTGTGAGTTAAAGGCCAACTGTGCTATAAAAGGGAGAGGAATGCCTCAAACAAAACATTATAGATAGAGAACAAAACAAAATAAAGTTCTGAACATATGTCTACTGTTTCCTTTTAGTAGATGGAGACCCAGAGATGATGCACTACTATGGTATGAAACAGCTTTGAAACTCTTCTTTAGGAGCCCTTCTCAAGAGCCTTGAACACCTATTTCTTTGCATATCTGAACCACTGCCAGGTTGTGCACTTTCGAGTGAAATTAGGATCAGCTGCAGGCAATTCAGGGGCATATTTATGCTGGCTACAGAGGGAATACTGTTTCCTGTCCCAACATCAGCTATGGCTATAATTTCATAGACTAATCCTCCTTGAAAGATGTAAAATATTTTTGAAAACAATACCAAAAAATATTTTGGTAGGCATTAAATACTTAGAAACCTAAATAAAATAACCAAATAACTTAGAAAGGCAGTATTAACCAATGCTTTAAAGTAAAATAGACTAAATATGGATCCTCTCCAGATGAGGATCTCTCTCCACTCTCCAGTTCCCTCCAGATAATGGCTCACATGTGTTGGACCCAACCTATGGCAATGAGCCAAATGGCTCACATGTGTTGGACCCAATCTATGGCAATGAGCCAAATGCTGTTTCTTAAAACTATTAGTATCCTCACTCAATAGCTAAGAAATTGGATGGAAAAAAAAAAAAGCCATTTCATAAGCTAAAGGAGAGCTTTGATTTCAAATCACCTGCCCATTGAAATGGCAATCTTTTATCATCCATTACTACACTGAGTCATTTTCATATTTAGAAAGATCATTTCTTTTAGATACTACATGACCAAGGAAATTAAAAAAAGTGATAACATAATCAACATGAAATGCCTTAAGGAATACAGAAAGGTGGATCTTTGGTTAAGTATTGAAGTCATCTATAAATGTAAGATTAATTTCAGAACCAAGACTTTAGTCTTCACAAATTGAAAGCAGAGAGGCTAAACTTTTGGGTTTAGTTCTCTAAATAATTTTTTTTTGGTCAGTCATGGGGCTTGAACTCTAAGCTTGGGTGCTGTCCCTGTACTCTTCAGCTCAAGGTGAGCATTCTACTACTTGAGCCACAGCATCACTTCCAATTTTCTGGTAGTTAATTGGAGATAAGAGTCTCACGGACTTTCCTGCCGGGGTTAACTTTGAACCACGATCCTCAGATCTCAGCCTCCTGAGTAGCTAGGATTACAGGTGTGAGCCATTGATGCTGAGCAAAAATGTTATTTTTATTATAGGAAAGCAACTACCTAATTTATAAACACCCACAGATAATATAGTAACAAGCAGTATAGATTTACTCTCTGTGAAGGAAGTATAACATAAAACATATTTTTCTACCCACTGACAAAGTTTGAAATGCCTCTTTTAGGGGAATATAGGAGAATCTAAAATCAACAGGATAAGTCACCAGGAAAGAGGAGAAAGAATAATAAATGGACCTGATATGTGACTCCTTTAAGAATAATTTGCTTAATTTCTATGCTTCCTAAATAGACACTTTAATTTTTACTTTAAGATTCCTCCCACCTCCTAAGGAGCTCAAACACCATATTAGATGATGGTCATTTACCTTGTATGACACCTAAACAAAGATTTAAACTGCATCATTGAAATTTTTTTCCTATAATAGGAAGTGGATCTAGATTCCATATCAAGGTATTTTACATGGAAAATAGCAATTTATAAACATAAAACACATCAAGGTCATTTTACAACTGTTCTGCTTCTGTAGGTTTGAGAGAGTCATCTCGGGAGCAGCACCTGTAGAAGGCACTGAATTCTCACTGTGCTCCACATAAGAAACTGCAGGACCACACTGTCCAAAACTCTCCTGCTTGGGAGAGCGAAGGAAGGGGTGACACTGTTGAAAAGGGAATGTCCTCTTTATCTGACTTATCTGACTTTATCTGTTCATTACCTTTACAATGACAACAGCTCTCTGCTTTATACCTGCATCATTTCTATGCTTCACACTTGGATCTGTCCTTCTTCCCAAGTCAGTTATCTCTCTAGATGATACTTCCCACAATGACTGTGGTGACAGAGAAAATTTTCATTCCTCACTACATTTCAGATAAAGTTAGATTTATCCAACTATGAAGGAGAGTTAAGGACAGAATTCTTCCATGAGTTTGAAGAGTGTGCCATTTGTGAAGAGAGTTGTCTCTACCATGGCTTTATAGACAACAAACAGAGAAAGGCCCTTAGTGATCAGTAAGCCAGTGGTAGAATTATTGCCTAGAATACTCAAGGCCTTGGGTTTAAACCAGAAAGGAAGAGAGAACAAGAGGGGGGAAGGAGAGGAGAAGAGTGGCAAGAGAAGGAAGAGAGAGAAAGAAAAAGGGAGGAGAGAAGAGCAAAATACACATAGATGTGATTTTAGAATTTCAAGTTAGTGGAAGTTTCTTTCTGAGAGCATTACAGAAATTCTAAAGTACCAAACATAAGAGACATTATTAATACACCAAGTGCCAACCATTCTAACATAGATTACACGGTAATGCAAAACATGCTACAAGGGAAGTTTACTGTATTATGAGGAAGAAAATTACAACATCGAGTTAAATTTGGACATGTAGCCCTAAAAGGCAAAATTTGACAAAACACTACAATGTAGAAAAATAATTTTTCACTAAGTGTGGTCACTAGTACTAGAGTTCAGGCTGTAAGATTGGGGGGGAGGAGAGAGAGAGAGAGAAAGAGAGAGAAAGAGAGAGCGAGAGAGAGAGAGAGCTCCCTTTCTCAGCAGTTCTCCTACAATCCATCATAAAGTCCACAACTGCATTGGAATCATCATCACAATCATTGGTTGATAATAACAATCATGATGGTCAAACCCACTTTCTAAGATTAATCATTTATATTGAATCTTGTTTTAATTTTTTAAAAAAGAGTGAACCAACAGTTATATAGAATTTTATGTAATTATCTATAGACTACCTTTTTTGTCCTACAAAAATACTGAGTGTTTATATGGTTCACCTAATATTTTTGTCTTTTGAAAGTTCTCAGCAGATCAGTGAAATTGAAGAAACAAGTAATACAGCAATGCAACAGAATTTTTCAAGCCATTTTTGAGAGCAAAATAATCACTTGTAATATTCTAATAATCACCACTATCAGAATTATTATTTACATCAGGAAATCAGGATAGTGTGTTTTCAGTATGGCTCTGTTAGTGAGTGGCATTATTTTGGCTTCTCCAGAGCTGATGACTATTCTAGCCTTATCAATAAATAATAAAATGTTAGATTGGTAGTAGTCAAGATCTCTAATTACGATAGTATATTCACAAGATAAGCCACTAATTTGGTACTTTGATAGGGGAGGGCAGTTACCTTTATGTTAACTTCTTTTGGATGGAATAATATTTTCCAACCCCCTTCATTTCATTCCTCTGATATTAAAAAAAAGTTCTAAAGTACTACTAAGAAATTAATTCATATAATCACAGTTGGGTTCTACTTTTTATAGTCTGTCTTTATAAATGAAAGACAAATAATTCACATATCAATGTTCCACAATACGAGATAAATTTTTTAGGGTTTTAAATTTTTAATAGTTTTTTCCTTTTTCATACAAAACCAGTGAATCCAAAAGTGATGCTCACCCCAATCAAAATTAATGAAGACTCCTACCCACACTAGTAAGTTGAATGATACGATCTCAGTCTTGTCAGTTTCTAGAACTTTCAATATCTAGTGTTGGCTTGGTTCCACGATTTTGTGAGAACAATATGATGGAACACAACATTTTGTTAGAACACAGTATGAAGTATGACACAGACATTGCTCTCTAGAAAGCTGCAGAAGCCAACTTAATAACTGTGTAACGTACTTTGGAGTTCAGTGTCCAAATGTGTATTACAATCGCTGAGCATCAGACAATTAGAAAAGAACAAAATCACAAAGGGCCAAAAAAGTCATGGAAAAAATTCAGCAAAGAGACCCAAGTATTGGGAAATTAAAAGAGCAAACAATCTGAAGAGGCCCTTTTCAAAGAAGAGCATCTTTAAACTTAATCCACTCACTAGCAGAGCTACTAATATCATCTCCACTTGGCAGGCACAGAAACTGAAATTCAGTGATATCAGCAAATCCACCCATAATCACCAAGTCCCCAAGCCTGAAGCATACATAAAGACTGGCCTTGGGCTAGATCTTCAAAGAGCAGGATGTCTTAGGAAGGGGAAAGAGAATAGAGTAGGCAAGTTAGTTTCAAGAAGAGAGCACAGTAGGTCTACAGAAGATAGGGAAAGCAAGTTTTAGAAAGAGTACAGTAGGTCAACCGAAGGTAGAAGAGAGCACGGGAGGACTATGCCAGAACTAAAGAAGCAGAGACTCCCACCCTGAGCAGAGATGGAGCCTGACAAGCTAGGTGAAACCAGGCTCTGAAAAAGTCATGTGGTTTACACTTGCCAGCTCACACCAACTGAAAGTTTCAAGGTAGTAAACGTTTAAGTGTTCTCTAAAGTATAAAGGCTTTAATCTTGACTCTTCTCATTGGATCTTTGATTCTAAGTGCTTGGTGCTACTGTAATTCCAAGAGGCATTTTAATTTCTGTCTTAAACTATTGAAGTAGTAAAATTTATGAGATGACAGCCACTGTCTTTTACATTCTCCAAATCTAAATTCAGCTACACACCTTTATCCTCTGTCATGCATGCTGTATTTTACCTTACTAACATTTGTTTATTGCTTTATATCTCAAGGTTTCATCATAAATTACTCAGGCAACAGGCACAAAGAATGGGAAGGAAAAAATAAGTCATTAGCAATACACATAAATGCTTTTCTGAACACAGTGTTCTGCTTTCAATAAGATTTGCAAAATGCAGAGTATCTTAAATTCATATAATATGTATTTTTCTGCTACATTATACCCTGGTAGAATCATTGTACCATGCTTTTCCCAGGAAAAAGGCAAAGCAATTTTGAGGCCATTATCTAACCCCGTGCAGAATCTTAAGGTCATCTTACCTCACAGTTGCTGAGATCAAGAGAAACCCCCTTCAAGCTATGATTACAAGACAGGCCCAGTAATAGTGCTCTAAGGGAAGGAAAGACAAATATCAGGTACAATTCCACACACAGACACACAAAGACACACACACACACACACACACACACACACACACACACTTCACTATACTGAATAAAACCTTGAAAAAAGAACACCTTTTCTAAATAACAGGTCAAGCAAAAAGCAACCTCTCACATTTTAAAATGCATCCTGACAATCTGAATTTTAAAAAAATGGCAGGGGAACACTCCTCTGTCTCCCAGGCAGCATTTGTAATGATAAATGTAAAACCTGATAGGATTGCTATTCCAATGCAAATAAACCAATAGCACGCCTAACTGAGTATTGAAATTAAATTGTGTTCATCATAGATAAATTCCCACCTGCATCTGCTTGAGAATTGCTTTAATAATGCTTAGAATATTAGTAGGCAATTGTTATTAGAGTAGCAAAGTTGAACTGGTTTTCCCTCAGCAATATGGTGAGACGGAGTCCAGCTCCATGGTATTCCAGGTTGGGAAATAATGAAAGCTAGATATCTTGATTAAAGGACTTCAAGACCTGTGTGGGTGGGGTAGAAAAGCACTGGAGATAAGAAGATGCAGGTCTTGAATTCAAGTCTAGAATCCTGATGGGACCGCCACTTGTAGGACCAGGGCAAACCCCATCTCTGCTGTGAAAAGGAATGTTTTAATGTACAAATTGAGAAGTTTGGGCTCATCACTCTGATATCTTTTCTAAGAATGTGAATTGATTCCACTTTTACAAGGCAGTCCTATAAAAGCCAACATCACTGAATAAGCTGAACATCAAGTATTTGCATATGCACATCACATCCACAAAATTATATACTGCAGGGAAAAAAATGTCCTCCCTTAGGCCTTGTGAGGGACTGGAAGCTGAGCATGTGCCTTCATGCAGAAATAAACACTGTGAATATAACTAGAACACAAAGCAGACAGTGATAAGCACTGAATGGTAGTACTTCCCACCCTGAGTGACTACCTACTTGTTCTCCATGTTCCCAGGGAAAGAACCTTCATCTACAATATACCCAAACTACCCCACCAAGGCAAGGGGCAGTGAAGTGTGTGTGTGTGTGTGGGGGGGGGGATTATTTTATTCAGATCCCTGAGAGTTTCTCCTTCCGATGATTATCAGGCCTCACCCACTGAGAGAGAACTCGTGCCATGGAGACCAAGAGCTTGGCTATCTGGAGCTATAAGAAGTGGAGACATGACTCAAGCAGTAGAGTAGCTAATTAGCAAGCAGGGAGCCACGTTGAGTTCAAACTCTAGTACCACCCAAAGGGGGAAAAAATACATCAAACACCTCTACAGTTAGCTTGAAGGCTGCAGGTGAGTATTTTTTGTTTCTTGTTTGTTTTCTTTTTTCATTTTCAAAAATCCAGTTCACTTGTCCCTACTCTAAAACACTATCCTATGAAAGTTTGGGTATATCTGATCTATGGACATATCAATTGCTTCTCTTTTCCAAAAAATTGTTTTCTTCTCCTTTCTTTCCTGGGAAGGCAGTATTTGGGACTAAGTAAGAGGCTAGTGTCTGATCCTCTCCCTATCACTACACACTAGTTAATTTTGAGTACATCAGTTTGGGGGGAAGAGATCCTCAAGTCCTATCAGTACAGTGATAAAGCCTGAACATTATCAAAGAGGTCTCTTATTATTTCTAACACATGCTGAATGTTTAACAAGTATCCATGCATGTGTTTTTATCAGGAAGAAAAATTTATGTAAATATATATGGAAGGAAAGTACTTCCTATTTTTCTTACATATAGATTAAGGCCAACAAAATAAATGGTGTGCTTTAACTATAGAAAGGCCCAAGATTAGAAGGCAATGACTCATGAGACCAGTAAAAATAAATAAACCATAGAAACCATTCTAAGGAAAATGAAGCAAAATAGAACAAGTACAACAAAGCATACTGAGGATGGGGGGGAGGGGGGGAAGAGGAGGGCCCACAAGTGTTGATGTCAAGAAACACTGTTTCTTGTAACCTGATGGTAGTAAAACCTCCTACAGAATGATCTGCTCAATCCTCAATCACCACTGCAACAATTCAGAGAAGAATTGGTCCCCATCTCTGGAGAGGTAACACATGGTAATTTTGTAGCTACACATTTAATGAGCTTAATAAAAATACTCAGCTAAGGAGATGGGGTTGAAGAAAGGGGGAGCATGTGCTAGGGATGCAAGGAGGAGGGGAGGAAAAGTGAGAGAAGAAATGCACTCCAAGGGATTCTAGCACAAGGAACATTCTTGGGATACATGGAAAAAGAATTAAGTGTCTCTGACAGCATACATAACCATACATATTTGAAAATATCTTTTTATGCACAGCAAGAAATTAGCTCTCTAATTCTTGAGCAGTACACTTTTGACATTTGCTGGCCATGGTACACAGAAATCTGGAGAATAACAAATTATTCCCAAATCTTGATTCACCTAAAAAATTAACTATACTACTACTAGTACTTTATATAGGGATACTAACTAATAACACGAAAGGATTGCCAAGTAAATGCCAAACAGATAACTGAGACTTACCTTGGCAATTGAGACATGTAAACCCTGAAAATTAATTTCATTCTACATATATAATACATAAGAGTGGGTAATTACTGTTAGTATAAATTGTTAGAATAAACATTGATTAGAACACATGGAAAAGAATAAGCCGCAAATGGGCTGAACAGAGATTATTATAAAAGCACTAACACCTTAGAGCATAACTTTAAATAAAATTTTTTATTAACACATATCAATTATGCACACTGGTGGGGTTCTATGCGGTATTTCCATACATTTTTGGACCATTGCATAAAGTCAGTGAGCAAGGTCACCAACCAAAGGAAGAAGTTTTTAACAGAAGATGTAATAACATCAATAGTGTACAATGTATACAATTTTAAATTTACACTGTCTCACAGCAAAAAAGGCATCCTCATTTGTCTTTTCTGCCTTTGGGTTATATATCTTACTCCTTTCCTTCAAGAGTATTCATAATAACAAATTGAACTTTAAAAGCTCTGGAGAAAATGAATTTAATCACTCACTTTAAAGGCTCAGGAGACAGTTTTGTGCCAGACAGGTTGATTTGCATCAAAGCTAGAGAACTACTAAAAAACTGCTTGAAAGATGGTGGGACTTCTTTTCCTTTCCTGAAAAAAAAACAAAAAATTATACAAGTGGTTATAGTCTCATTTGACTTGTTTAATTGCTTCTTCAGACACTAAGAATCCACAATTAGTCATATTCTCTGTAAAATGTGAAAGTAAAAAGAAGCCTACTGGAAAAAACATCCTGTATTATTAAAGAAGTGGCATAAGAGAGCTCAGATATGTCATATCATTAAGTCCATAAAATAAGGTATCCCTATTCTTTGTACCTAATACTTGTATTTTACCCCTTCAATTAAAAAAAAAATTATCTTTTGTCAGCATGAGGCCTGAACTCAGGGCATGGGTACTAACTCTGAGCTTTTTTGCTCAGGGCTAGTGCTCTACCACTAGGAGCCAAAGCTCCACTTCTTTTCTGGTGGTTAATTGGAGATAAAAGACTCTCAGGGGTTGGGAAGGTGGCTCAGTTGTAGAGTGCTTGCCTTGCCATGCATGAGGCCCTGGGTTCCATTCCTCAGCACCATATAAGCAGAAAAAGCTGGAAGTGGTGCTGTGGCTCAAGTGGTAGAGCACTAGCCTTGAGCTGAAGAGCTGAGGGACAGCGCCCAGGCCCAGAGTTCAGGCCCCACGACCGACATAAAAAAAAAAAAAAAGATTCTCAGGACTTTCCTGCCTGGGCTAGCTCTCAATCTAGATCCTCAGAGCTCAGCCTCTTGAATAGCTAGGATTATAGGCATGAGCCACCAGTGTCCACCCCTCAATCTCAAGGGAATTCTATGTTTGGAGTTTTAATATAAAAGGATATGTACATGTAAATACACACATGTGTGCCCTTGTATGCACACACATATACATACAGACAAGCCTTATACTACTAGAGTTATATCCCCAGTATTTTTTTGTCTTTTTTATTTATTTGATTTAGTAACTTTTATGATCACGGTCCTTGTGTTTTTGCCTAGGGCTATACTGGGCTTCTCCTACTAACATTTCCCTTATAACTGGGATTACAGGCATACTGTATCACCTTGGTTTTTGTTGAATGGGGCTTCACTTTTTGCTTGGGCTAGTTGGTCTCAAACCATGATCTTCCCAATCTCTGTTTCCCAAGCAACTTGGATAATAGCCTTTGGCACCACATCCAACCTAGAGATGTGTACTTTTCATCAATTTCAAGAACTTTCCCACTGGGAAATGCAGGATTGCCACCTGAATTTAGCAGTATATTTTAGATAGTGCCTGGTGTGGAGTAGAGGAATAGCAAAGGAAGTGGCATGAAGCCTTCCTGACAAATAATTTAGGTAACTATTATATATATATATATATATATACCGCAAATCTACTCATCTCAGCCCAGCTCTGGTGGCTCACACCTATAATCCTACTTACTGAAGAGGCTGATATCTGAGGATCACGGTTCCAAGCCAGCCTGGGCAGGAAAGTCCATGGGACTCTTATCTCCAATAAACCACTCAAAAACCAGAAGTGCACTTGAAAACCAGTAGAGCACTTGCCTTGAGCTGAAGAGTGCACCCAATCCCAGAGTTCAAGGCCCACGCCCGACCAAAAAAAAAAAAAATCTACTCATGTCAGGACAAATATCAGAAAAATTGAAAGATAAAAACTATAGAATGAAATGGCTATGTCCGTCTGCTTAAGACAGCGGAAAGTGGGTAGATGAACTGTAAGCTCAGGGACAAGGGAGAATCAACACCATATGATAAGAGTTAAAGAAAAGTAGGATGGTCACCAGTGAATCTAGTCTATATAGTCCTACCTATTCAGGAGGCTATGATCTGAGGATCGCCAGCACTGGCAGGAAAATCCTTGGGATGCTTATATCCAATTAAACACCAAAAAGCTACAAGTGATGCTATAGCTCAAGTGAAAAAAGCTCAGGTACAGCACCAAGGCACTGAGTTCAAGCCCCAGGACCCATACATCAACAAAAACAAAAACAAAAAAAGGAAGAAAAGTAGAATTTTAAAGTCCACAGGTAGAAACTGAATACTCTGCTTGTCACATTCTATTAGAATTCACAGGAGGACTAAGTCACATATGTAAAGCAGTTAGCCTGAGGCAAAGTAAGCACTCATTATTTGATAATAATTCATAACAATATTGGAAGGATTCCTACATTGTCAGGGCACAGAACATCCCAGAAGTCAAACTCACACAAAGAAACCTGATAATATTTTATGTACAGAGGTCGGAAAATCTTGTCAATGGGGCCTGGGAAGGTGGCTCAGTGGTAGAGTGTTTGCCTTGCATGCATGAGGCCCTGGGTTTGATTCCTTAGTACCACATAAGCAGAAAAAGCTGGAAGTGGAACTGTGGCTCAAGTGGTAGAGTGCTAGCTTTGAGCTGAAGAGCTGAGGGACAGCGCCCAGGCCCAGAGTTCAGGCCTTATGACTGACAAAAAACAACAACAACAACAACAAAAACTTGTCAATGATAAAGTTTTATTTTAATTTTTTTGTTGTTGTTGTTGGTTGTGGGGTCTGAACTCTGGGCCTAGGTGCTGTCCTTCAGCTCTTCAGCTCAAGGTTAGCTCTCTGACACTTGAGCCACAGCACCACTTACAGCTTTTTCCACTTATATGGTTCTGAGGAATGGAACCCAAGGCCTCATGCATTCAAGGCAAGCACTCTGCCACTGAGCCACCTTCCCAGCCCCATAAACAAGTTTTAAAAAACAAGACAGTTGCCAGGTGCCAGTGGCTCACACCTGTAATTCTAGCTACTCAGGAGGCTGAGATCTGAAGATCACAATTTAAACCCAGCCCAGGCAGGAAAGTCCATGAGACTCTTATCTCCAATAAACCACTCAGAAAACCAGAACTGGCACTGTAGCTCAAGTGGTAGAGCACTAGCCTTGAACTGAAGATCTGTGGGACAGCACTCAGGCCCAGAGTTCAAGCCTCACAACCGACAAAAAAAAAAAAAAGATAGTTATAGGCTATTTGGGAAAAAGATCTAAACAATCAGTATATTTACCTAGAAAGTTAAAAAAAGTCAAATTAAAAGGGAAGTGAATTCTGGTGGAATATATACATGATACGTTTCAAATAATTCAGGTTTCCTGAAATAATATCTATATTGACATTTCTGTTTGATTTTTGATAGGCAAAGACGGTTAAATTGTTATTTTGGGGGGGGGGGGGGGGGGAGTGTCAGTTGTGGGGCTTGAACTCAGGCCTGGGCACTGTCTCTGAGTTCTTCTGCTCAAATCTAGCATACTATCACTTTGAGCCACAGTTCCATTTTCTGTTTTCTGGTGGATCATTGGAGTTAAGCATCTCAATGGACTTTCTTGCTTGGGCTGGCTTTGAATCATGATCCTCAGATCCCAGCCTCTTGAGTAGCTAGGATTACAGGTGTGAACCGCCAGCACCAAGCTTATTATTGTCTTTTTGAGACAGATCATGCATGCCATGATCTCTTTCCCCTCTGCTGTGGGTCTATGTTCTAGATAGAAAGTCATCCTTCCCAGGCTGCCACTGAGGTGGCTAGCCATAATGGACATGTCACAAACACCCACTGAAAAGTCATGGATGTGCGCAGAGGGAAGTGGGGGCTGGGAACAACCTGGCTAATCCAGACTGATACACTTATGAAATTATCTGTGAACTACAGAATGAATAGCCTAGCTAACAATCTACACCTCAATATAAATGCAGTGATTTCAACATAATTACAAAGGGCTTTCCATGACTGTATCTAGTAAGGGACTGGGTATTAAACAGTTTAATCACAGCCTTTCATTTGCAAGACAAGGCAATTTGTTAGCACAGTTCTGCTCTACCAGCTTAACAGCTCTGCTGAAGACCAGTCATCACAGAATTCACCGTGTGGTGAACTCGAAAGAGCTGATTATACAGAAACTTTTATAGGCTGTGCTGTCACCTTGTAACTCAGTTACTCTGTCAATTATAGTGCCACAAAAGCATGGCCTCATAAACTGCCTTTAAACATGAGATGGCCAGTGAGCCTCAAATAAGACTCTCAGATACCCACCCCCCAAAATAAAATACCTCGGAAACCCCGTAATTTCTTCTACCACAGTTATCTCTTAGGTTCTCTAACCTGACTCTATTGATGACTTTGTGAGATATGTTTGCTTTTTTAAAAAGTGTTTTGAGGGGTTTTTTTTGCTGTTATAAAGATTCATTATCATTGTAGAAGGAATGGACTAAAAGTACTTTAATATGTTGATGGATAAACTTGTAAGTTATAATTGTGGAATAAAACATACCACTAAAGTACATTCTCCAAATGAGTGAGAGTTAATCCCCTGAAGATAGAAAGCTTTTAAAAAGTAAACCAGTAATTATGGACATCTTTTGAATATTACACAGTATAGTATGTTGTTAAAGAGTACACAACAAGCAAAATTTTACTTGTAGCCAAAATTACAAACACTCAGTGTTAAACTGAACCAACCCAATAAATGTTCCAGGCTTCCACATCTAGGCAGCCTATAAATTTTTCTCATTTACTTTCTTTTCTTGTTGCTATTGTTTGGGAAACACTGTTGTTTTGAACCCACTGCTTGTTCTTTAAGCAGCTTTACATTAGGAGGATAAAAGTGAGATTCTAAAACTGGCCCTCTAGTTCTACAAATTACAACACATAAACTTTAAGATGACTATTCTTTTTGTTCCCCGTGATAACTTATTCTTACTTTAAAGCTTTCCATTGAGAAATACCTACAGAAAGTTCTGAAAAGGGTTAAAACCATATGAAGTAACAGAGTACCTGTCCACTTGTTCACAGCAGTTTGCTGGAGTAACTGATAAGGACATTAACCTGTGGTTTACAAAGATCTAACAAAAACTTGACCTTGCAAGGCCTAATATTTATAGACATCTTTCACACTATAGTTTTACTATCTATCATTCTATATGCATTACCACTACAACCCTGAAAAATACTCCTAGTTGACAGTAACAATGAGAATCAATACATACCGGTGAGAGAAAACAGTTCTGGAGAGATTGAGCACTGCTAAATATTGAAGGCATCCACGGAGAAGAGCTCCACAGACCTGAGGAAAAAATAGGCACTCATACTTTTAAGCATTTCTAGGTCCATGGTCACATGTTTTATTAGAAACAGAAAGCCCTCTATCCCATCTTAATAGCTGTTCTGAGACCCTCCAAAGCAATACACAGAAACATTACCATATCCAGGGAACATTCTGTATTGGATAAATCCAGATGAGCAATGGCATTTGGCTGGGCCAAAAAACTGTACATGTGCTTGAAATGAAAAAACAAAAAGGAAATGTTAAAATCTAAAATATATACATCCCATAATGCAGGCTAATGTTTTCAAAGGAAATCACCATGTTTCCCAAGACTAGCTGAGAAACTACTCCCAAGTAGATTACCTGACTTTTCTATCACTCCATCATCTTCCCTGAGAGCAAAAGTCCAAATGATACTTTCAATTAAATAAAATATGTGTAACCAAGTGCCAAGAATTTCAACTGCCAACCCCCCCCCACTTTTTTACACATGATTTCATTTTCTTGATTAGCTCAATTTTTATTATATAATTTTGGAATGATACTAATTAATTTTAACTCCTGGGATGAATGTGCCACCTGAACTGCAGTCACCCTATCAAAATGCTAATCACTTCTAAAAATGTTAAGAACCACTCATTTGAATTTAACCAGTGGATGTTCTCAGGCTATTCTCTCTTCTGTCCAATATAATAGTTTCTCTGGCCTTTAAAAAAAAAAAAAGGAGGAGGAGGAGGAGGAGGAGGAGGTGGCTCAGTGGTAGGGTGCTTGCTCTGCATGCATGAGGCCCTGGGTTTGATTCCTCAGCACCACATAAGCAGAAAAAGATCAAGGTGGCTCAATTGGTAGGGCGCTAGCCTTGAGCTGAAGAGCTCAGAGACAGCACCCAGGCCCAGAGTTCAGGCCCCACAACCAACTAAAAGAAGAAAGAAGGAGGAAGAAGAAGGAAGAAGAAGAAGGAAGAAGGAAGAAGAAAGCCAGGCGCCCATGGCTCACGCCTGTAATCCTAGCTACTGAAGAGGTTGAGATCTGAGGATCATGGTTCAAAGCCAGCCAGGGCAGGAAAGTCCATGAAACTCTTATCTCCAATAAACCACCAGAAAACCGGAAGTGGTGCTGTGGCCCAAGTGGTAGAGTGCTAGCCTTGAGCTGAAGAGCTGAAGGACAGCGCCCAAGCCCAGAGTTCAAGCTCCATGATCGACCAAAAAAAAAAAAAAGGAAGGAGGAGGAGGAGGAGGAGGAGAAGGAGGAGTTGAAGTTGTCGTTTAACAAGATTGGCCTCAGAGCATTATTAGTATGTACAGCCAAGACAATTTAGGCTTGGGGAGGGGGCGGTCATTTCGCCCAAACTTTCTCCCCTTCTAACTTCTATTCCCCATAGATGGCATCAAAACAACGGAATTCAATTACTCTTAGTTGTTCCCCAATTACCTATAAGAGCACCAGTCAGAGCTCACCAATAAAGTCCAAGCTCTCTACCACCATTCAGACAGCTCAAACCCCTCTGCTTCACCAACTGCTTCCAGATACTTGCAAATCCAAGCGAGCCTATAACAAATGTCTCTGTACTTGGCAAAGTCTCATTAAAGCAGTTTAACTATACTGTATGATGTTTCAAAAAATCCACTCCATCAAGGAGTTCAAAAAAACAAAATCTTTAGATTGTAAATGCTTTAGAATAACCAGGATAGATTGGGTTATGGAATATTCTGATTCATGAAAATCATTTTTTTTTCACTTACATAAAGTTCTTCTTCTCTCAGCCTGGCACTACCAGCCTCCAGACATTTAATTTTGGTGTCCTTTTTGCTCCCAGTCACCAGGTGAGGGAGCTCTCGTCAATCTGAAGTAGTGAGGAGGCCCTAAGGGGTCAACCCCCTTACAGGATGTTTTCCTTGAAGGCACAGGTAGGGGAAGACCATACACCAGCCCAGAACCTCCAGAACTGACTAGGAAACCACTCTAGTCATCATGACTCCCCTCACAGACCTGGCACAAGACCCATATCTGGCCAGGAAAGAAGCTTAGAGCTCCTTTGTTATATAAACAACTATAACTGTCCTTATTTCAGTCGTGTTTTATTTGATACATGAGTGTACGAGGGTACTGGGGCTTGAACTCAGAACCTAGGCACTGTCTCTTGGCTGTTTGCTCAGGATGGTGGTCTACCACTTGAGCTACAGTTCGCACAACTTTTCTGCCACGGCTGGCTTTGAACCACAATCCTCAGACCTCAGCCTCTTGAGTAGTTAGGAATAGAGCTCATAAGCCACCATCACCTGGCTTCTGTCTCTTTAATCTCGCTAAACTTACTCCTATACTTTGCTACAATAATACTTTGGTGGCTCTGCATCAGAGTCTTTATTTTATCTTAGAATGGGGCATACTTAATGACTCATCAGTGAAGGAGAAAGTGAAATTGTAAAAATGCACTAAAAAAGTCATAAGGCACCAAGAAACCAGCATTATGTAAATGATTTCAAGTGTGAAGGAAGGGAAAAGGAGAGGGGAAAAAAATAAAACTATGAAAAGGCTTTCATTTATTTTCCCTGCCTTACAGGTGAACTAAAACAAAAGAAATGATCATGAATTTCACAGTGTTTTTCATCCCTGCAAAGCCTTTCAAAGATGCTCACTCACTGTAAGCCTTGTTGTTTGGGAAATTTTTCTTCTAGGTTCTATCATGGTAACCAGAGGGGATATTTAGCACACATGGCAATGAGAGTATAACTCATGCTTTGTGTCAACAAGATCTGCCAAATATTGATATTACTAACTCAGATTAAGGAAAATTCTTGTCATACTAGACGGGGAGACTTTTGACCTTCATAGTCCAAAGAATGACTACAGGTGACTTTTGTTTGTGAAATTGCCCAGGACTTGGTTTTATCTTAATAGTCTCTCTTAACTGAAAACTATTTTTAAAAATATCCTAACAATAGCTTGTAATGATAGTTTAGTTTCTGTTACCACTTTCTTATCAAGCCATTGTTAACAGGTGAACTAATGTTGCAAAAGAAAGATAATAATTCCTCCAGAGAAAGCATTTCCAAAAAGAACTTGAACTTCAGCATATTCAATGAGAGAAAAAAAAACTTATGGTGACAGAGTATATTTAATTAAGGAAAGGTCTGACGTTTTCATTAAACTACTTCACATGCTTGTAGCGACAGGATTTAAAGGTGTTGTGATTATGGGAGAATCAGAGAAATAAGTTAAAAGTCATGTTTGGAAACAATGCTGGGCTTATGAAGTCTAGTTTCTTCAAAGATGAGACTAAGTTAAGGAAAGCTTACCGAGAGGTCATCTCCTCGAAGGATATTCCCTGAGAGGTCGAGATGGAGAAGGGTGGAGGCAGTCAATGGATTGGCACTGAGTGACTGAGAAAGGCTATTCACCCCTGCAACACAGAGGAAATGCAGCTTCAATTTCCACTCCAGGAAATAAAATGAGGTTTGAGAGTTTTTTATAAATGCCCCAGCAGTGCCATCAAATTGCCAGACTGAGGTTAGGCATAAACACTGTCCCCAGATGGTAGAGCTGATTGAGTCTTCTTTTGACAAACCCTCAGGGGACAGAGGTTATTGACAGATTCAGCCATCTCACAGAATCAGGGAGAGCGACGGAATCCCACATCCTCTGATGTGTCTGAGGACAGAAGGCATTTAGTGCTGAAGTCTCAGCATGATGCAAGGCATCTAACTGACCATTGTTACCAGGCCATTGTTAACTTAGTGAACGGCATTTAAATGATACATGTACACTTGCAGATATTTTAGGCTATTTATGCATTAGGAATCTGACAAGAGTTTACAGTGCTCTGTAATGCATTTACACTCAAGACAAAATTTACCTTCAGATGGACTTTTAAAAGCGTAAGATAATCAGCACGCAAAATAAGACACAATCAAAAGGACAAATTTTTAATTAACTCTATAGACACTTTCCATACATAATATCAATGGCTCTGAAGACAACAGGAGAGTATGGAGGAAAGGATGGCACCATGTGGACTGAGCTATATTCTGCTGTACAATGACCATGATTGACACAAGCCTCCTAGTCATGGCCTTGCACTGGGTCTATTTTTTCCTCAGGTCACCTCTCTGAGGTGTGTCAATATCAAATGGGAGTCAGTAAAAGTCTGGACACTCACTGGGGACTCACACACTCCAGTGCTACTGATGGGTAGACTCTGGCCAACAGAATAGGGGTTACCACAAAGTTCGTTTTGTTTCTAGCAAAAGTCTATGGTTCCAAACTATTTCTAAAATGGATACACTTTTTACAAATTGCTCTGCTTTTCTTGTTTCATCTGTAAAATTCTTTTTTAAAATCTCAACCCTCTAAAAGAGAAGGAGGAAAGAGTTTTTGTCCACATGGGGCAAGCTTTATGGTGCTAAGGATTCCAGGGCCCGGCAGGTCTTGCCAATCAGCACCATATCTGGTCATCATGTAGAAGCCAAAAGGGGACTCTCACGAAAGATTTGAGGGGAGAACTACAGAGACAGCATCTACTGGAGCACCTCTCCCCTCGCTATTATGTATTTAGAACAGTCAGAGAATGTTACTAATGAAGCCATCCATGGATTTCCCCCAGCTTGAGAGAGAAAACAGATTCTGGTATGCACCTAGCAGAGGTTGCTGGGGTATGTCCAGGGTAAGTGGACATTTGAGGAATAGAAAGAGGAGACAGGTTCTGAATAAAAGAATAAAATACTTCAGTATCTTCTGAAGTATAAGAACGTGGTGTTTACAAAAAATACATTTACAAAGTATTCATGAAACAGGTGATTGGGAGATATGCATTAGAGGAGGAGGAGGTGGAGGAATGCAGAGATCATTAGGAAGCAAAGTCATTAGACAAGAAACTAACAAATCAGTGCTCTACAAGGAATAGCTTTTCATTTCAAAAGGTATTTGTTACTAGGCAGATGGCTCAAGTGGTAGAATACCTGCCTAGCAAGTACAAGGCCCTGAGTTCAAAAGCCAACACTGCCAAAATAAAAATGTCTGTGGAAAGCCTACTGGTTTACACCAGCCAGAGTTATCTGAATTACCAACTAAAGGCTAGTTCAGGAAAGTAGAGTTGTGGATTAAGTGGTAGAGCACCAGCCTTCAGTGAAAAAGCCAAACCTTGCAAGTAAGAGCAAGAGGCTCTTAGGTCAACCCCTGTCCTGGCACCAAAACAAACAAACCAACCACAACAAATACCAAAAAAAAAAAAAAAAAAATTCAGGGGCAGACTTTTTCCCCTGGTTATTATTCCCTACGTTGTACAGTATAATGATTGTATAGTATAATGACTTTTTGCATAGATTTACACTGCATTAAGTATTCTAAGTATTTAGAGATGATTTCAAGTACATAAGGAAGATGTGTATAGGTTCTATGTAAGCACAATGCTGTTTTATATAAGGGACCTGGAAACATCTGTGGATTTTGATGTTTTGATACCAAGAGACAACTTCACTCATTAGCTAGCGAGCCACAGTCAACCAGCCAAGAAGCAAGAGTACACTATGAAAGGCACGAAGATTTGATTCATTGTGTTTCAAAAAAAAAAAAAAAATCTGAAACTGCCTTTAGCCCAAGTGAATTTCTGAAGGTGATCTGTTATGCTTCTTTAAAAGTCCTGCTTCCTTTAGCTTTTTTTTTCTTCTGTTATTCCCATTAATCTGGTTTCTAATGGAATGAGTGAGTCTAAAACATATGGAGTATACCAGACACTCATCAAAAACATCATTTGTAAAATCATCTCTTTAAATCCCAACATTAGAAGGCTAAATGAGACTTGACAGCAAAAAGCTCCTTGACAAGTGTGGGCACTTGGCAGGTGGCCAGCATCTGAATCAACATGGGAGAGAATCATGTTATCAGTTCAGCTTCTTAAGAAGGCGTTTCTCCCCGGCTCCAGTGCCCACATTCATACTGGCCTGTCTTAATAAACCCAAAAATGCAGGGAATTATAAAAACAGAGAACTTGGGGGAGGGGGAAATCTGGCCTCTTACAACTCACACAAAATACAGATTTGCATGCTGCTCTCTATTCTGGCTGTCTAGTGATTCTGACCATTCTTCATATTTACCATTGGAGTGTTTACAGCTGGAAAAAAGGTGGTACCAGATGGCCGTGCCTTGACATGATCTGCCTACCAGCAGGACATTTGAGAGAAACCCAGAAAACTATCAGATTGCTAACATCTGAGATAGAGAAAGGGTATTTGGAGTCAGTAGGGAATGTCATGGGGAGATGTAAAAAGAAAAATCTGTCTTATACTATAGATCCCTGAATATAAATGTTTCCTCAGATCTAAAATGTAAATGCTAGTCAAATTCAGCACAAACTTTAACTACAATTTAATCTGAGCTATTTTGAAATTTCACACCTTTTAGTACCTATGACTAAGCCTTTAAGAAATCAAGTTTGCCCCAGGAAAGACAAATGATCACCACATCCCTCCATTTGCTTCACCATAATGAATAATTCAATTAAAATAATGAAATATCATCAGATTTGTTTAAACCCTCTTGATGTGTAAGGTTCTGGGCTTGATCCCCCAACACTGGGAGATGGAGGAAGGTAGAAATGATACCTTCTATTTTATAAAGAAGTGGAACTAGAGTTATGGAGCACATGAAAAATGATTAATATTTTTAATATGTACAGAAATTATACAAGAAAAAGATTAGCACTATAAACAGAAAATGAAGAAAGAATATAAGCTAGCATTTATCCAAATGAAATACAAATGACTGAAGATGGGGGAGGAGCTGGCCTAAGCAGTAACTAGAGAAACTGAAATTAGAATATCAAGACCCATTTATGTTCTTGATAGAGAATGAAAAGTGAGAATAATATCCAGCAAGAGAGTGAACACAGGATGACAATAAATATAAAAGAAGCCAGGAGTGACACTGTTCAAAAGAAATGTCCTCATTGCTGGATTTAGGTAACTGTAACCCCTCTGTACATCACCTTTACAATGCAAAAAAAAAAAATGCACATACTCAGCTGGGAACCAATGTCTCATGCCTGTAACCATAGCCTATAACCATAGGAGGCTGAGGTACAGAGAACAGTGATCTAAAGTCAATCCAGGAAGAAAGTCTGGGAGACTCCATCTCCAAATAGCCAGCAAAAAACCAGGCTGAAGGCATGGCTCAGATAACAGAGCACCAGCTGAGCAATTGTGAGACTGAGTTCAAACCTTAGTACCATGAAAAAGGAGAAAAAAAATATGTATATTCTATGACCTGATAAATCTGCCTATTTATCCTAAAAAGAAAATTAAGAGCCAGCTGCTAGTGGCTCATACCTATAAATCAGGAGGCTGCAATCTGAAGATCACAGTTCAAAGCCAGCCCAGGCCAAAAAAAAAAGTCTGTGAGATTCGTATCTCCAATAAAGCACCAAAAAAAGGGAGAAGGGAAAATGTGGCTCAAGTGGTAGAGCACTATCCTTGAGGAAAAAAGCTCAGGACAGTGCCAGGACTAGCAACAGAAAAAAAGAACTGGAAGTAGAACTATGACTCAAGTGTTAGAGCACCACCCTTGAGAGAAAAAGTTAAGCAAGTCTCATGCCAGTACTAGTACCAGCACTAGTACACCACATACACACACATACACAATATGATAGCACGGGCTGGGAAGGTGGCTCAGTGGTAGAGCGCTTGCCTTGCATGCATGAGGTCCTGAGTTCGATTCCTCAGCTCCACATAAACAAAAAGAAAAAAGCCAGAAGTGGAACTGTGGCTCAAGGGGTAGAGCGCTAGCCTTGAGCTGAAGAGCTGAGGGACAGCGCCCAGGCCCAGAGTTCAGGCCCCATGACCGGAACCCCCCCCCAAAAAAAAGAAAAAAGAAAAAATATGATAGTATAAGATGATGATAGTGATAGGGTTAGTGATGGCAGGGACTTTGTGGTTGCAGACATTCTAGCTGTTATGAGCATTTATTGCACCCTTTGAGCCAGAAGCAGCCAACTGCTGCAGTCTCTGGTGAATGAAAACATTGCACAGAATGCCTCCAAAAGACAGTGATTTACTTTAGAAATGTCAAGTTTTTCAATTCATGAAACTTCCATTGAATACCCTCTGTAGTCCAGGCATCATGCCAGGAGCTGAAGATACAAATACAAAAAAAACATGAGCTACAGGAGAGCCCCATTCTCACACTAAAGACACAGCCATGGAATGCTATAGTAAGGCAAAGGATCCAGCTGTGGTCTCAGAGACGGAGAACATGACTTAGTAGAGAATCACAGATGAAGATTTGGTAAACTAGACTGGTTTCCATGAATGTTTAGTGAAAAAAGAAATATTCAGGCATCTCAACAGAGTAGATATATAAGAAGCATGATAAAAGGAGGGTGATTTCTTTCATCTTCCTCCTTTGGGGGTGGGGGATTAGTAAGGTAAATATTGGGTTTGAGCATAGCCTCCTGATTACTAGTCTGGTGTTCTACCAATCAAGCCACACCCCCAGTGTTTTTTTTTTTCCTTTAGTTATTTTTCAGATAGGGTTTTGAGCTTCTTCCCAAGCCACCTTTACATTTCAATACTCTTATCTCTGTCTCCCATGTAGGTGGGATTACACACACGTCGTACCATGCCCAGTTTGTTGTTTAAGATTTGGGTCTCACAGCCAGGTGCCAGTGGCTCACACTTATAATCCTAACTACTCAGGAGGCTGAGATCTGAGGACTGTGGTTCAAAGCCAGCCTTGGTAGAAAAGTCCCCATGAGACTCTTATCTCCAATTAACTACTCAAACGAAAGTGGAGCTGTGGCTCAAAGTGGTACAGCACAAGCCTTGAGCAAAGGAGCTCGGAGACAGCACCCAGGCTCTGAGTTCAAGCCCCATGACTTACCAAAAAAAAGAAACATGGAGGGCTGGGAAGGTGGCTCAGTGGTAGAGCACTTGCCTTGCATGCTTGAGGCTCTAGGTTCGATTCCTCAGCACCACATAAGCAAAAAGAAAAAAGCCAGAAGTGGTGCTGTGGCTCAAGTGATAGAGCGCTAGCCTTGAGCTGACGAGCTGAGGGACAGTACCCAGGCCCAGAGTTAAGGCCCCACGATCAGACCCCCCCTCCCAAAAAAAAGAAACATGGAGGCTCACTAACTTTTTGTCTGGACTGGCTTGGAACCATGACCTTCTATCTCTGCCTACTGAGTAACTGATACTACAGATGTGAGGAAGCATTCTCATCCCAAGCAGGGTAATTTCTAGAGTTATTATGTAGATGCTTGTAGGCAAAAATAATAACCAAAATGAAAGGGTATGATTAGAAACTAGATAAATGGGGGGGGGGGGGGGGGGAAATAAAGTCAATACCACTGGGAGAGAAAAAAAAGGCAACTTCCGGGGACAGGAAATAGAAAGACTGGAGAGCTACTATGATAACATAGCAGTGAGGGTTGATTGTTTTCAGTAAGGCAGACAGTCGAGATCTGACTGTTGGGAGACGCAAACTTGTTTGTCAGAAAAAAGAGTGAAGAAAAACAAAACCAGGTGCTTCTAGGAATATGAGACAGCAGGTGAGAATTCACTGGTTCAAAGTTGAAAAAGAGTTTAGGAGCACAGGTGTGTTTAAAAGTTATTTCTTGCACTGAAAGCATATAAGTTTAGACCAAAAGATCTGAATGGCATACTGCCTTTATGGAAAGGTAATGTAATACATCTATTTTTTTAATTGTAGACAAATAGCACAATAATAACTCTAACTACTAAAGGTAACAGGTGCAGCAGTAATATTATCCACAGTATTAAGAAAATAATAAATACTATACCTTTAGGTGACAGTGAGGTTTTAGATAAATTTAAATGCTTCAGTCCCTTTGGGAGTTTGGCAAATTGAATACTTAAAGAGGCCACACCTGAGAAGTGAAAAAGGCAATGGTTAGAAATTTCTGGTTCTCAGAATTCCATTTGTTTTATAAAATATTAAAAAATGTATGAAGGAAGGGTGACACTGTCCAAAAAGAAATATACTCTTTATCTGACTTATGTAACTGTAACCCCTCTATACATCACCTTTATAATAACAATTAAAATTTTGAAAGAACAAAAGTATGAAAATTAAAGTTAACTTCAATTAAAGTAACCAGAGCTTATTTCCCAATCATTTACCACCATGCATTCTTCTCTTCTGTCCTACCTATTGGTAAAAAAGGGAAGACTATTTAATTACACGTAGCAATCTCTGAAACTTTACCATTATAGCATTTTTTCTTGGAGCCAAGTTTTACCGTCTTCTCATCATCCTATTTAAAATCCAAATCCTCTTGAGAAAGAGTGATATAATTGATTCTCTCCCCCTTTTTTGTAACCTCTGTCTTAATGAGTTGATCTCTTTTGGATGCATGCTATTTAATTATTGTCAAGAAGAATGGAATAATATTAACTATTCAGATAACAGCTTCACTTTTAGCAGATGGATTCCCATACTTAATTGGCTTGTAGTTAACAATCTCAGAGAGAGAACATCAGTGAATGTTTTCAACTTCTTAAAGGTAGGTTTTGTAACTTACAGGAGCTCACCAAAAATTTATCACATTTAAAATTAGATATACTCTCGATTTAATGGCTGGTGTGGGAGACAGAGAATAGCAGCTCATTTATTCAAGAGCTTCAGTGAACACAGAGTGTTTTGTGGGGAGGAAGTAAGTAACGGATAAAGCTGTGCCCTAGCCAGGATGTTGAAGCAACTTCCACCTGCAGGTGAGCGATCACCTGCTTAGGGCCAAGTTATTGGAAAGGCTCCTTAAGCAGTAATAATTCCATATTCTAGGCAGCAATAAAAAGCTACTGTGCTGCCTGCTGCTCTATACAACCCTAAAAATCTTATCAAAACTTCTAAGAAATAATTACTGTAGAAATAACAAAAGGGTATTGGTTTGACTAAGCCTCAAATTGGGTGTTTCCAAAAGATGCTAAGTGTTTTGGTAAACCTTGCCTACCTCCCTAAAGTGTTCCATTGTCAAAGAAAAGTCACTTGATTAAATACTGTTAAACAGATTATAACTACACTTTTAAATATTTTTATTCATGTTGTAGACTGCAGAGAGGCAGATGTTCTGATATTTTAGTTGATATACTCTTCAAAAAGAATGATGGGGGGGGGGGGCTTGCCTTGCATGCATGAGGCCCTAGGTTTGATTCCTCAGCACTACATAAGCAGAAAAAGCTGGAAGTGGTGCATGGCTCAAGTGGTAGAGCGCTAGCCTTGAGCTGTAAGAGCTGAGGGACAGTGCCTAGACCCAAGACATAAAAAGGGCCAGTCAATCGTAGAAGGAAACCTCCAAAATGTGAGTCGAATCTAATCTTTCCTCCTTATAACTTAATTGTCTCAGGTACTTTGTTACAGTGATGGAAGCTAGTGAACACACTTAGGACTTGAGGACTTTTTTAAAATGTACCTCCAAAATGCATTGCAAAATATTTAGACTGGAAGAGTCTAATCTAGGTTCCCACTTTTAAATTTTGTTAGGAATAATTATTGCCCATTCATGACCAATTATTTTCCTTTATGGTTTTCACAGCAAAGCATATGCTACCACACTGACTAAAGCGCTATTTCAGATCTTCAAATTGCTGTAAAAACATAAGACAAAATTTAGTCACCTCAAGTTCACATTGGTTGTGCTCATTCAATTTATTCTGCTTTATTCTTTTGAAAATGCACAATTTTAACACTACATAAATGTGTGCCTATATTCAAATCAAATGCTAGAACGGAATATTTATTTTACACTAACATCACCTACTCGTCACTCATCCTTTAATCATAAATATCTTCAAAAAGTGGTAGGTGGACAAAAGGGAATAGCTATCCAGCAATATTTTCTCAAGAAAAAGGAATATAAACAGTAAATGGTAAAGTTCTTAAATTCTATTAAATGTCTACTAAGTCAGGTTGAATATGATATTTTTAAAGCAGGTCTAATGGTAACATTAAATATGGAGAAATGAAAGCAAAGATAAAACAATCTAATCTGGCTGAGATTTTTTTCCTTATCAAATTCAAGGTAAGTGATTAAAAACACAAGGTTAGTTTAGAACACATCTAATTAAAAAGATGATTTTAGTCTAGAAGTAATTTCTCTTGATGCTTTAAAAATAAAACAGAATATATTATAGGCTTTGGTGATAAGAAGATGAAGCAGTGATAATACTTTAAAAATCCAAAAGAGATGATATTTATTGATGGAATAATTTTTATTTCCTTGGCATCCACAAAACGTAATTATATTTCTTCTTTAAAGGAATGCCTTTACTACATGCTAATGGAATAAAAGGTGTAATTAGGCTTAGTAGCATTCATTTTAAATAATATACCAGGCTGAAAGTGTAGCTCAGTGGTAGAGTATATTTTTCTAGTATGCCAGGTTTTAAGCACAATCCTCAGGGCTCATATGCATTCAGTTTTCCATACATTCTCAATTTAGAGATGCAATTCACTACAGAGGGATTAAAAAAAAAAAACCTCTAAAATCAGTCAGGTCAAAATGCAAATTAAGGTACAAGACCTGCGGAAAATTTCCCCATGTCCGTAAATGTCTATGCATTAATTGATGAGAATAATGGCACTCAAGACAAATTGCTGAGATAACGTGCAAGAAAGCACACACTGCCTGGCCCACAAGAACTGCTTGGTGAATGCTAGCTTTCATGATAAAAACAACAGGCAAGCAGGGCTCCAGTGGCTCACACCTGTAATCCTAGCTACTCAGGAGGTTTGAGATCTGAAGATCACAGTTCAAAGCCAGCCTGGGCAGGAAAGTCTATGAGACTCTTATCTCCAATTAACCACCAAAAGCCAGAAATGGAACTGTAACTCAAGTGGTAGAGAATTAGCTTTAAGCACAAAAGCACAGCAGCAGTGCCCAGGCCCTAGGTTCAAGCTCCAAGATCAGGGCAGGGTGGCGGCGGGAAGAGAGAGGGGGTAGTAAGAGATCAGGCATCATATAAAGTGTTGTGAGATGCAAGTATATACACTTAATGGGAAGGACTTCTTGCAAATCTAATTGGATAGGAAAACTGAGACTGGCAGCTGAAAGTTGCCATGATTTAGAGGAATCATACTTGGTGAAGATTTCTTCCCAGAGAATTACAAGCTGAAGAATTCAGAACACTTGTCTGCCAGGTGCTGGTGGCTCATGTCTGTAATCGTATCTACTCAGAAGACTAAGATCTGAAGGATCTCTATTTGAAGACAACCTGGATAGAAGAGGCCTTGAGATTCATCACTAATTAACTGGGGGAAAAATGGCTCAAGTGATAAGGCACCAGCCTAGCTAGCAAATAGTATGAGACAGAGTAAGAGTGTGAGGCCCAGAGTTCAAGTCCCAGTCCCAGCATTAACAAAAAAAAAAAAAAACCTAACCAAAACAAAGGTGAAAAAAATTGAGTGATGCTTTGGATGGAACCCTAGAACCTTGCACATGGTACACTGGAACTGTACCACGGAGCTACAACCCCAGCTCAAGATGATCTTTAAATATAGCCACTAAGAAAGAAATGTGAGGGCTGGGAAGGAGGCTCAGTGGTAGAGCGCTTGCCTTGCATACCTGAGGCACTGGGTTCGATTCCTCAGCACCACATAAGCAAAAAGAAAAAGCCAGAAGTGGCGCTGTGGCTCAAGTGGTAGAATGCTAGCCTTGAGCTGAGAAGCTGAGGGACAGCGCCCAGGCCCAGAGTTCAGGCCCCACAACTGGACCCCAAAAAAAAAAAAAAGAAAGAAATGTGATGTGAAAAAAATTTAGAGAGATTGGCCACTTGATTTGTAAAACAGTAACAGGTTATTATACAAAGAACTTATCTTGGTATAGTTTAGAAATGAAGTCTTGGAAAGGTAATTAAATTGAGAACAGTTGGCAATTGCAACCAAAATATCAAGAAAAAGAAAAATTTATCTGCTCTCTACTTTCTAAAGCTAACTACTTAAACTTTTGGGCAAAACATAAACAATAGCTTAGGAGCTATGAATAAAATTTGTTGCTAAAAGCTTTTTGAGATTTTACTTGATGAATTTACCTTGCTTCTTTTTATTTTAATATGTGTCAAATTTAGAAGAAGGTTTAATTTTTATTTTCCCCTTTAAAATGAAATTATTATCACTCCCTCTGCTTCATCATCTTTTTGCCTAAGAAAGTAATTATAAAATGTTTAGTATGGTAATTTGTCATCTGATGTTAATAACTCACAAACATAGGAAAATTAAAGTTGACATTGCAAATTTCACCCCATTGCAAATTTCAGGAATGTGCTGAAAAGTCTGTGACACTATACAAAACTCATGCATGGATATTCTAGCATCATTATTATTCAAAGAGGTTTAGAAGTCTTTTTAAATTTAATGTATCAATATGAAGATTTTAACAAAATTCTGCGTGTGTGGTTCTAGTAATATGATATTGGAATAAAGTGGTCCTTTTTCTTATGTTTAGAAAGTATATAGGTTAAAACATTGTAAAAGCCATATTACAAGCGCGTTAATTTTTTTTTAGACTTCTACCAATTCCTGTGACTTCCTTGGAAAGTTCAGAAACTCTGAGAAAAGCAAGTGAATAAATAAGCCACCATGAAGTATTTCTATGTTGAAAATAAAACTGAGAATCAAGCATAAGGAATATAAAAATAAAAGGATACCAAAAACAAAACAAAAACTGGAGTCAACACCTAACTTAAATGTCTTAACAAGCCTATATCATTTTAAAATTCTCTTTATCCTGCATAATAATTGATTTCATGGCCTGCTAATAGCTATGAAGCCATAGCCTGAAAAAAAAAGCACTAGGTTAGAAGCAGGCCAAAAACAAGGTGGTGAGCAAGCCCAGCCTCACAGCCAGGGTAAGACCAGCTTGTCAGTGCACATGCCCCAGTGGTCTGGTCGCCACCTATGCAGCTGTTGCTGATAAAGCAAGAAACACCATCCCTTCCCTACTAAATCTTACTTTATCCTCCTTCACCGGAAGCCCCTTAACAATGAGAAGGCTGAGAGTCTGTCCTCACATGGGTACGACAAGGAGACTGAGCTGTAAATAACAGGTATTTGCTATATCAACATTCATATCATAAAGCCAAGAGCCAAACTTTCTCTCTGAGCATTGCCAAATAAATCCCAGAGTAGATAGTTCAGGTACAAAGTCAAATTCCATTTGGTGTTTAAATACCTTAGAATTCTGACCTACTACAACTGCTAAGATCCTGCCATGTGTTCCTTTTTAATTTCTTTGCAAATAATCTTCACTGGCCCAGTCTCTCTTTTATGCTATATGACTTCATTACAAGTTCCTCTCCTTTTTTTTCTTTCATGCATTTGTTTCTAACGCATTTATAAGATTATTTCTTTGTTGCTTTGTATGTCCCTCCCCCACAGTATAACCCCTGCTTTCACTATATTTGATGTCAGTATAATTTGTGGAGGAGATGGGGAAAAACAAGTTGTTAAGGATACAGGTGGACCGGTTGCAACAATGAGAAGTACAAGTTGTCATGTTGAAAACGAACTTTACAACTTTGGTTGGGGGGAGGATTGAGTGGGTGTGGGAGGGAGGAGGCTGGGAAGGGAGGTGAAGGGTAAACAAAGGAGGAGGCTGCAATGCTTGATAAGAAATGTACTCATTATCTTGCCCATGTAATTGTAACCCCTCTGTACAGTATGTTCACAAAAAAAAATAATAAAATAAAATAAAAATAAAAAGTTCCTCCCCTGTCCCTTTTATTACTTTCCTACATAAAATCCTGTCATGGAAAAATGCAGAACCAAAAATTTTTAATTTCTTTTTCTAAACCGAAGTTTCAGTAACTGTTTTACACAACTAGAAGAGCTCCCAGTCAACTCCAATAAATAGCTATTAAGAACCAATAAAGAATTTGTTTTTGGGAGGCTCAGTCCCTGGTGGGGAGAAAGCAAGAAGGATGCGTGTTGGCAGCTGTCCATGGGCACTGGCAAATCCAGCAATGAATGACTCTGGAAGGAGCAAGTACTGGTCTGTGAAAAGGTTATTATGAGTATCAGAATTCGAAAGCATGTGAGAGAATCTACCCTGGTAAGTTCCCATATTCCAGCTGAGGATAAGAAAACCAACCACATAGTGACTGTAAATGGGCAACAGGTAGAAAAAAAAGGTCTCAGCAGGGATAGGAATGTAGAAGAAAAAAGCAGAGAAACATTTTCTTTGAACGTCTCTTCTCCCTCCATAAACAGAAATTACAGCCAGGAGCCAGTGAATCAAGCTTGTGATCCCAGCTGCTCAGAAGGTTGAGATCACAGTTCAAAGTCAACCCAAGCAGGAAAGTCTATGAGACTTTTATCTCTAATCAGCCACCAAAAAGCCGAAAGTGGAGCTATGGCTCAGGTAGCAGAACACCAGCCTTGAGCAAAAGAGCTCAAGGATAGCACCCAGGCCCTGAGTCTAAGCCTTAGTATTTGCATACATGCATGTGCGTGCACGTGCACAAACACACACACACACCTCTATAACCTTCATTTCCAAGTACAACTTTAAAAACTAGATAAGAGAATGAACATTAAGTACAAACCAATTCGATTTAAGGAAAATATGTATAGATTATGGACAAGATCTTAAATCCAGATGTTGTGTGTCATAGGAAGAGAGAAGAGAAAGAAAGACCAGAAAAGGAGGATAAGAGATGATGGGTGGTAGAAGAGGGAAAAAGAACATTTACTTAGAAGGAGGGTCAAATGTAGTAACTATCATCACAGAAGTTAAAACCCAAGGGCTACAGGACATCCAAGGAGAGGGCCTGACAGGAAAAAACTACACCTGCTGCATCCAAGAGCCTGTGAGACATGGGAAGGAGAAGGGAGGCTGCTCAGACGCACCCTTCCTCTTAGTCTCACAGACATCTTCTTTCACTTTGAGTGAAAGTCTTTCAAGTTCAGTCATGTGGCAGCCAGCATTAGAATTTCATGCCTTTTTCATTGCTGACTGGTTTTGCAGGGTTAGAACTACCAGGTTTTATTCACCCAGTGGGGACATTTGAACTGTTTCTACCTTTTGGCTATAATGTATAATATTTCTGCAAACTTTGGTTGGAAGGTTTTGTATTGACTTGAGTCTCCTTTCTCTTCAGTGATACCCAAAAAGTATAACAGCTAGATCTTTTGGCAAATTTTTTTCTGTACCAGTCCTGGGTCCAGGGGCACTGTGCCTGAGATTTTAGGCTCAAGGCTTGAGCCATAGCTCCACTTCTGGCTTTTTATGGTGTTTAATTGGAGATAAGAGTCTCATAGTCTTTCCTGCCAGACATGGCTTCAAAACGGGATCCTCAGACCTCAGCCTCCTGAGTAGCAAGGATTACAAACATGAGCCACTGGTATCTGCAATGTTTCAATTTTTTTGTTTTGGTTTTGTTGTTGTTGTTGTTGTTTTGGTTGGTCGTGGGGCCTGAACTCTGGGGCCTGGCACTGTCCCTCAGCTCTTAAGCTCAAAGCTAGTGCTCTACCACTTAAGCATAGCACCACTTCTGGCTTTTTCTGCTTATGTGGTGCTGAGTAATCAAACCCAGGGCCTCATGCATTCAAGGCAAGCACTCTCCCACTAAGCCACCTTCTCAGCCCCTGCAACGTTTCAATTTAAAAAACAAACAAAAACAACAACAACAGCGACAACAGTGAATCAGTTTCCAAAATGATCACACCTTTCTGATACTCCAAGTAGCAACCTGTTAAGTTTTTTTCCCCACATCCTCTGTAACACCAAACTTTGATCCCTGGGTGAGAAATGCTGCTTCATTGTGGGCTTAATCACTTCTCTAATGACTATGGAGTGTTTCCTTTCTGGTCTGTACCAGCCTCCAATTACTACCTCCTTTTACGAATTCTGTCCTGCCTGTCAGTAGATAAATGTGACTGATTCTCTCACATCTTTGAACAAAACCAGGACAACTCTCCTGACTATAAGAGGTGATGTATAGGATTTCCAGTATGTCACATACATCTTTCTGTTGCATTTGATTCATAGATAGACAGCTGTTTTTCCTGAAGAAATTAGTATACCCCAGAGAAACTCCTATTCCAGGAGTCTGCATCCATTATATCCAACTTCAGCTTACTCTATGAAGGTGCTTTTATGGGATCTAGTTTCTTAACTCTCCTTCAGATTCACAAGTTGCTCTTAAGGGTGTTTTCCCCTCCCTGGTTATATACACAGTGGAGTTCATACACCGAACAAAAAGGCAAAACTGTTTATGTTTATATTCCCAGCTCAGCTGAATGATTAATCTTCATCAAATAGATAACAATGAAAGATGAAAGACCCTTATTTAACAAAGCTAGAAAAAAAATTGCCACAGAAAATAAAGTATTTCCTCTAGAGATACAGCAATTCCTTCTTATACCCCATCGATCAAGGAGCCACTACTGAAATTGCAGTCTCATATTTTCCTTTTTATGTCTACTGACCAGCATTGGGGTGGTCTTATACAACTAGCAAGAAAACTAGATGGGCCTCAGTCTTACAGGCCCCAGGAAATTAATAATGCCAACAATTTATAAATGTGAGAAACACTCTAGGTCACAGACAGCAGCAGAGCTCCACTGACAATATGGTTTTAACCTTGAGGCATGCTGAGCACAGATCCCAGCTAACCTGGGACCTGAGATAATAAATGTGACATTTAAAGCTGCTAATAAGTATGGAGCAATTTGTTATGCAGCAGTGGAGTGCTAATAAAATATTTAAAAATTCATATCTTCTTTCTCCTTGTCTAACTTCAAAACTAAGTTAATCAGATAGGAAAATCTGAGTCCATATATCTTCGAGAAAAGATAGAAAGAGCCAGAAGCCCACAAACATACCAATACTAGTTATAACTGAGTGACAACTGAGCTCAATATACTCTTCAGTCATGATGAAATTAAAACTCTAATCCTCTGGGTCTGGGAATGTGGCTTAGTGGTAAAATACTTGCCAAGCATGCATGAAGCCCTGGGTTTGATTCCTCAGTACCACATAAATAGAAAAAGCCAAAAGTGGTGCTATGGCTCATGGTAGAGTGTTAGCCTTGAGCAAAAGAAGCTCAGAGACAGTGTCTAGTTCCTGAGTTCAAGCCCTAGGACTAGGGGGAGGGGAAAAAAAACTGCAAAACTCTAATCTTCCCACTCTGACATTAACGGTCCGGTGACCACCATCATACCTCTATCCTCCAGTGGGTTGCCAGCAAGGTTAATAGTGTGAAGTCCTGAGTTGGGATTATGTGCTAGAGCACCAGCCAGTTTTTGTGCAAAATCTCTGTAAATATATAAAATTATAGGAATAAGTGCATACAATATAATGCTATCCAAATACTCAAAAGATTAAGATAAAAAGAAATCTTAAAGAGAATCCTCCTTTATTATATGATCCTATACATTGTGTATGTGTAAATATCTATGAACACCTATGAGAGAATCTGTAGAGTGACAGCCAGCCTAAAGTACATTCTGATTTGCCAAAGCCTCAATCAAAAGCAAATACAAAGTACTTAACTGCACCTATAAACACACATTTTATGCTATTCATATTACAACTTGATTCATGCATAACTTTTTTCTTGAACATTCCTGAATGAAACAAAAATTTCATGAAAATTCCAGTAGGCTATTCACGGTGCCTCAGCTCTCAATTCATGTAATTCTCATGAATGTAAGACTGATTATTCTCATTACTGAGTTAAAGGCTACAATGGCTAAGCACTGCATTTTACAAAAGAAAAAAAGGACAATCACTATTTTAGTTATATAACAACTCACAAACTACAAAATTACAAAATATCTACCCTTAGCAGAAATAAAGTCTACTAAATCACTAGATGAAGACTTTATAAGTATTACTTGAAAGCGGAGAAAAATGACTGATTAAAAAAAATCATATGAAATGCTATTTCTGGGACTTCCATTAATGGTACAGTAAAAGACACGCATAACATTTATAATGTGAAAAGTACTTTGAAAAGTACTTAACAACTATCAATTAGGAAAAGTTTAATTCTGTAAAGTAGGTATTCTGCTTATTCAAATTTTAAAGGCAAAGACACTGATAGGTAAAGGCTAGACAACCAAAGGTCATGCTGACCAAAGGCCAATGTTCTTTTTTTTTTTGTCAGTTGTGGGGCTTGAACTCTGGGCCTGGGCACTATCCCTGAGTTCTGCTCAAGGCTGGTGCTCTACCACTTGAACCATAGCGCCACTTCCAGTTTTCTGGTGGTTGATTGGAGATAAGAGTCTCATGGACATTCCTGCCCAGGTTGGTGACCCTCAGATCTCAGCCTCCTGAGTAGCTAGGATTATAGGAGTGAGCCACCGGCACCCAGCAAGTCCAATGCTCTTAATCACTACACAATATAACTACAAAAATACCAAGTGATACTGTTACAGAAAATATCAAATCCTTGAACTTTATAATAACAAAAATCAGTGTGTTGTCTATATGTTGTATTTATATTTTAAAATATAAATAACTTCTAAATATGAGTACTTCAACTTTAGCAAACTAACCATTAATTAAGAGAGCAGATGATATAAAGTTTTAGAGTAACCTATTCACATATTCAAGAAAATACTCACGTTCTAAGTCCAGCATTTTCCAATACCAATTCTTCTAGTCGATTAGACCTACTCACCACTCTCAAGATCTGCTCACAAACATCAGTAGACTGTAACAGAAAACATTCTTTGATTATTCCTTAAGTCTACAGAAATAAAACCTTATTTCCCTATTATAGTTCTATGTAATGCAATACTTAAATAAAGCATTCATTCATATAGTCATTTATTCAGCACCTCCTGCTATGTACATTACATTGAAGATCCTGGGAACACAAAGGTATCAAGGACAACGGTCCCAAAAATGAGCATGGCCTTGGGCAAGTCGTTAAGTGCACTCTCACACAGGTAAAAAGAAGAACGTTACTGGCTACTGTCTCCCCATTCATATATTAAAACCTAACCAATGGCCAGGCACAAGTGGCTCATGCCCATATTCCTAGCTACTCAGGAGGATGAGATGGCCATTGGGAGCTGATAAAATTTAAGTGTGTAGCCCTCACTTGTGGAATGACTGCCTTGATAAAAGAGGCTCAGAGAGCTACCTTACCCCTTCCATAATGTAAAGAAATGGTTAGAACGGCACCATCTGCAAACCACAAAGTAGTCCTAAGCTTTGCATCTGCCAAAGCCCAATAATGGACTTCTTGGCCTCCAGAACCACAAATCACTCAACCGGTAACATTTTGCTATAAGTAGCTCAGAGGAGAAAAAAAACACACAAATATGAGAAGGTAATCTTAAAAGGCCATTTTACTAGTGTTCAGAATATTCCCAAGTCCATCTACCCCAATTCTCAAGGAAGTGCTATGCAAATTGTTGAACTGAAGACTAAATGGAGCTAATGATGCTGAAGATGTCTTCACTGACTTTTTGCCCTGTGCCAAGCACTGTGCTGAGCTCTTTATATATAATTTCATTATAAGTCAGTAAATATTGTTATTCTCTTTTTAAAGACAGTAGGTGTAATAACATTATATACTTTAGTAGGGAGGCTGGATAAACATGATGCTCCAACTAGTTTTTTTTGTGTTTTTTGTTTTATGTTTTGTTTTGTTTTGGTTTTTTTGGCCGGTCATGAGGCCTGAACTCTGGGCCTGGGCGCTGTCCCTCAGCTCTTCAGCTCAAGGCTAGCACTCTACCACCTGAACCACATCACCCCTTCTGGCTTTTTCTGCTTATGTGTTGCTGAGGAACGGAACCCAGGGACTCATGTATGCAAGGCAAGCGCTCTAATACTGAGCCACCTTCCCAGCCCCACTACTAATACTTTCTAAAATAGGGGAAAGGGACATCATTCAAATAATAGGAAAGAGCTAAATAAATGTCTATTATATGAATGGAATTTTTTAAAAAAATATTAAGTAGTCTGTAATAATTATTATAACCATGGAAAAATATTAAATAGCTAGGATATAATGTTAAATGAGAATGCATAAAGGACCAAGATTACAAAAAGTAAAATGAGTAATAAATGTAAGAAAATCTTAAAGGAATTGTGAAAATGAAATAATACCAAGGTGTAACTTTGTATTCATAGTTTTACATTTATTTATATTCTGTCTTATTTCCTGTCTTATTCCAAAGGTAATTTAAGATAACTCTTGGACTTACATTGTTTAAATATTGAAAAGTGATTTTATATGGTCTCATTATAAACAAAGGTTTATTTAAACCTTTTATAATATACATAAAAGAGACAGCATGCTGTTTGTGGCATGGCTACAACAAACCACAGTCTTTGTCTAAAATATCTTATAAGTGCACTACAGTTTTTTTATTTAATCAGATCACAAATAGCTATCTGGATTAATCATAACTAGAAGAGAGCCTAACATGAAATGTACAAACTTTTCTAGTCAGGTATCTTGTAAGAAAAACCCTCTCCAGGAAACACACTAAGTCCTACAGCATCACAGATCTCATAATTCTTTTATCTATCAAATTCCACTCCTACAATGCTTTTTTTGCACTCTTTCTAAGCTTCTAATGAATCCCGGTGGACTGATGAGCAAAAGGAAAAAATAATTCAAATTGATTTGATGCCTACAATTTATACTATGCTGACAGTGGTGATTTCCAAAATGGTGACCTCTTATCAGTATAATGTTTTGTCTCACAATGTACATCCAAGGAAATTTATCTACTGCAGGGTGTCATGGCAAAAAGGGACTAGATCAAGTCTTTACAAGGATTATTCTTGTTTTCAAAAACAACCATGAGATCACTGCTACCCTCCAAAGCATCCAGAAAGTTAATTTACAGCTACAGAATTTTGAAGATTAAATGTACACATTAAATATAAACACAATCATAAAAATTAGTTAAAGTGTATGAAGTCAGTTGCTGGTGGCTCACATCAGTAATCCTAGCTATTTGGAAGGCGGAGATTGACAGGATCACAGTTTGAGGCCAGCCCAGCCCACAGGAGGCGGGGAGGAGTTTGCAAGACTCTCAGTGGAAGAAGCATCTGTCAGCCCAGCTACAATGGGAATCATAAAATAGGTAGATCTTGGTCCAGATGCAAATCCAGGCAAAAGAAAAAGCAAGACTCTCAAAATAACTAATGAGAAAAGGATCTGGAGGCATGATTCAATAATAGAGCCCCTATTTAGCAGAAATGAGGCTCTGAGTTCAAACAATAATATCACTAGAAGGGAGGGAGAGAGGGCAAGAGAATATATAAAAACATTATCTAACTTTCCCTTAAGATGTCACTGTTACAGTAAATGATTCAAAATTCTTTTATACTGCTGTTATATCATCTACATGAAGAGCATTCTGTTCTATACTGAAGAATCTATATATAGAGATGAAAAATTTAAGGAGGTAAGAATGAAAATGTGTCTATGGCATGCTCAGCCATTGGTTTAGAGAAGGAAATATATATAAATATATATATATACATATTACAAGTGAATACAATGGCTCTCCAAAAGGTCACATTTAATTAAAAATAAAAATATCGAGCATTAGTAACACTATTTTTACAATAAAAAAACATTAAAAAATATATGACAAATTTGAAATCACCATGAAGTAAGAAATAAACTAGTACTTCAAAAAACAAAACAAGCTGGGCACTGGTGGCTCATGCCTGTAATCCTAGCTACCTCAGGAGGCTGAGAACTAAGGATCTCAGTTCAAAGCCAGCTCAGGCAGGAAAGTCTGTGAGACCCATCTCAAATTAAACACCAGAAAACCGAAAGTGGTACTGGGGCTCAAATGGTAGAGCGCTCGCCTTGAGCTGAAGAGCTGAGGGACAGTACCCAGGCCCAGAGTTCAAGCCCCACAACAGACAAAAAGAAAAAAAAATTGAACTTTGAATTAAAAAAGAACCACATATATTGCTTCACATAACCATTACTGTATGAAGACTTTTTTAGAGAAACAGTGATACACACTAACTTGCTTGAGTTACAATACTCAGAAAATTGAACCAAGATCTGAATTCTATTGCTATTTTAGTGATTCAACATTGGCTCCTAACCTAGTATGTTATTTAGGCTAGGAACAAATACTTTAAAATTTTAGTTCACATTAACTTGAAATGAAACTATTCATTTCTGTCATGCACTTCAAGTTTTAAAACAATACCTAAACAAGATGTCTCTGTATATTGTTCTATCCTTCAAATAAACCCAAATAAATCCCAGAAAATTTTCTGGGATTCTCTGCTACACACTGTCAGAAAATAAAGTATTTCTTTTTAACTTGGGGTAAAACATAATTCACTATTTGTTTTAAGATTTGTAGCATATTTTAAAACTTCCATTTTAAAATATCAAAATTTCAACAATAACTGCATTGTGTATTTTCACATTTACACCTCAACAGATAAGCAGTAAGGACAAGTCCTCTATTCCTGTCATAGTTTTTCCTTCCATCTAGGACAACCAAGAAAACATGCTAGCACATGCAAGCTTTGATTTCCCAGGAAATGATTCTGTGTGTATTTTCTGTCCTAAACACTAATGCAACTGAAAGGAGATGATGACTAGGAGAAAGAATGGCAGTAATCCAACACTCATTCATTGGACACCTTTCTGAACTAGTGACTTGGAACAATTACCACAAGTACGGTATCTACAACCTCCTCAGAACCCTCTGGAGGCTCCATTTTCAAAATCACACACTTATGTGAATGTTTAAATGAGCCAGGAAATCTAACTGGGTAGTAATCCATTGTTCTCCCTGATCCCACAATCCCTAAGCTAATCTACTTCTCATTCCTCCAAAAGGTTCCCTCTCTCAACTTTCAATCTCTCTGATTCCAAACTCTGGCAGTGGTCCCATCCCAGCATGCAGGAAACAAGAGGCTTCCATTCCCAGGTTGGCCATGGTAGCTACCTGCTTCTTGCCTGAAGGCCCCTGATTCCCATACCTGCTGCCAAGCACTATCATGTCCAGCTGACTTCATTCCCATCACTGCCTTACCCACATCTGTTTCTCAACCTCTTTGCTAGTCTGATTGTGATGGTGATGATAATAATTAACAGTTATGGTATGCCTGCAATATGTTAGAGACTATGGTAGAATTTCTACACACAAGTATCAGTTACTCATCTCAACAACCTGCAAGTTAATTATACTTCTATGTTCATTCATCCATTCAGCCAATGCATTTATTCTCTATTTATGAAAACAATTTTCAGTGAGAAGCCACTTTAATCAAAAAGATACTCTGAGACAAGCACAAGATAGAGATAGATAAGACTTGTGCTCCAACTAGCTCACAATAATAGGTACACAGGAAGATGGAGACTTGGAAGATAAAGTAATGTATTTAAGGTCATACAGCCTAAGAACAAAGAGTTAAAATCTGAAATATGGCTTCTGATTCCAAGTCTAAGCTCTTTTCTTACATTACGTTGGCTCCAAATGAGTTCAGCCCACCAACATGTCTTTAATGCCTTAAGCTACCTCTACTCCAGGCAAATTCAGAGAACAAAGTAGCCTATTGACTAGCCAATCTCAATCCTCTATTTTTTTGCAGATCCACCCCTCTCCCCACATATCCGAGTCTATGGTCTCTGAGACCTGGAGTTTTTGAAGTGAAAGTCTCCAATCAAATAATATTTAAGCTATTTCTGGTCTTGAATGAAATATCCAAAAGCTAACTGCAGATAAGTATCTGTCTGTATGGCTCCTTTGAACTTGAAAAATCCCCAACAGAGCATCTTATTTCTACTAGTAAAGAAAGAGCAAATAATTGGCTCCTCCATCTCTTAAGAAAACATTTCACTTCAACTGCATTTCACTTGCATATAAATCTGCCCTCAAAGTGCATCTACAGAATTAACATCAACTATCTTAACTCAAAAGGACCAACTGTACCTTGTTAAGATTTCCCAAAATTCTTAGAAAAGGAAGCATTATGGAGATAAAAATCTAAGATAGAAACATAAAAGCTGTTATTTGGAGCTGTGCAAATGTAACCTTAATAGTTTTGCTAACTGAATGAGTGTATACTGAAGGCTACACTAAATATCTTCTGTATACTAAGATTGCCTGAAGCAGCTGAACAGAAGGAAATCGTTCTCTGAAGAATCTCACATTACAAACTTTGCAAAATGTTATGCTAATCACTTACAGGAAGATATGTTCTCAAAAATGTATGCAGCTAGCTCACCAATATGGGAGAAAAGCAAAAACCTTTTTTTAATTTTATAATTTTCAGGTTTTTGAAATTCAGCAAGCAATAGTCACTGGTACTTCAGTTACTTACCAATTTTAGATCCTTAGAGGACAGCTTTGTGAACCACTGATTGTATTCCAGAGCAGCGATGATAGGTATTAAGTCTCTAGAAGTAGAAATAACAAAAATATATACTCATCACTCATCCAGAATAGCTACATTGGAATTGTGTTTTTGACCCATGAAATCCAGCTATAGTAACATGCTAAGTCCCCATTATTCAAAAGCATAACATCCAGCTCAAACTATTTTGGTCACTAGACATCAATTAAGTTCTCTAAGACAGGTCTTCAATATGGTGTAAGCTAAATTCCCCAAATTTGAAATAAAAAGTCTGTATGGGTTCTGATTCCTTGTTCTAAAAGAAATCATACACATAATTCTATACTAACCAGACGATGATTTTCTTACCTCTACTTCCTGAGTAATTGGGAATACAATTGGACTACTATGCAAGTCTTGTGAAACCAGACAACTTAATTCTAACTGTAGAAATAAATCTCTTTCATCAATTCTGTAACCATCAAGTATCTCTCATTCTTTGAGAGAGAGTTTATGCTGTGATCAAAGATGGTGTCTAACCTGAGAACTGAGTCAGTGACATCAGCCGGATTCTCATTGCTTAACAGGCATCCTAGGACTATTTGGTAATTTTTATAGTTTTCAGCAGTGATCACACAACAAGTATAATTCTGTCTAATAGAGTCACCAAGAGAGGGTAGTGAAAACCAAGTATTTACATTCACAAACTGTTATGTTAAACTGAAACTTCTTTATACAACTACTTTTGCAGTACTTGCTGGTATAGAACTCACTAAATTGTACAGGCTAGTTTCAAAGTCTATTTTTTTTTTAGGGTGGAAGTCAGGAGAAAAACAAAAACAAAAACAGAATTCTATTCCTGGAGCCATGCCCTCAGCACTTTCTGCTGTATTTTAAGACAAGATTTTGTTCTTATGTTGGAGCTGACCTGGGCCATGATTCTCTTATTTACACCTTCCACAGAGCAGAATGACAGCTGCACAACACCATACTCAGTTTGTTATTAGTTGAGTTGAGGTCTTGCAAATTTATTAGGGAACAACACAGATATCCTTCAGTAATAACACACAGTGTTCCAAGCAAGGTTCAAAAAGGCCATGCTCAGCTTCTGGCTAGCTTGGTCTCTTGCGAAGTTCACCCATGGAACCCAGCTGCTATGCTGCAAGGAAGTCCCGGCCACATGGAAGGACCACATCTAAATTTCCCAACAGAGCAGCAGCAATCATTAGACATGTGAATAGAAAAGGCTTCACAAAACTTGCATGGTGGTCCATTCTTATGTTCCCAATTACTCAGGAAGCAGAGTTGTAAGAAAATCATTGTTTGATGTATAAGAACAAACTATATCAAAAAGGGGCTGGAGGCATGGCTCAAATGGTAGAGCACTTGTCTGGAAATAGGGAGCCCTGAATTTAATTCACAGCATCTGGAAAGTGGTGTGTGTAGAGGAGAGAGTCTTCCCCTTTAACTTACAACTATTTTTGTTGTGGGCCATTAAGGTTGAAGGGTTTATCACCCACACCAGAACACAAGCTATCTATAAATAAGGCTTCTCAGCTATACCAAGGATGGACTCTAGGACATGTAGCCATAAAAAGCTTTTCAGCAGAAAAATATTTCAGAAAGCTAATTTCTGTAATGCTGATAGAATGTACCAGAGGAAGATAAGTCTTCACAAAACAAGAGATAAGGCAAACTAGAAAATTCTTCACAAAGTGACTTATGCAGGTAATCTATCCCAATAAAGATATTCATATGCTCATGATAAAACTATAAAGGAACATATAGGCAATGATTTTTCTCGTGATAGGGAAGTAGTAACGGGATTTTTAAAAAATCAATATAAAGGAACATATAAACAATTATTTTGACAGCGAGGGAGGTGGGGAAAGGAGGCAATGCACTTGGCTATTTCTTGACATAATGGTTGAATTTACAATCATTTGGATCCTGGTACAATCTGTACATTTTTCTCTAAGGAGACAAGCACAAGAATGACTTTAAGCAGCATTGTTCATGATAAACAATAAGCAAATCAACATGTCTGATCAACTGTAGAATGGATAGATTGTGCAATGTTCATACATTAGGATCCAAAAGAAAAACAAAAGTGAATACATGATAGCTTTGCCCATGACCACGGAAAATCTCAATGTCTTAGTTATGCTTAACCCCTCTCAACGTGGCTGGAACATGCAGAGAATGAGAAGCTTTATGCCTGAGCTGACCAGGTGCTCAGAAAGAACCTAGCAAACACTTACATAAAAGTCAAGGTCTGAGGTGAGGGACTCCGCTTGAGCCACCACGATGGCTACAACAAACCCAGTGACCAAAGATCAAGGAAACTCAGTACTGCATATGGTACAGAGTACTATGGAGCCAGAAAGGATCAAAACCCCACCAAGTGCCTAATTACACAGAAGTTATCTGACAGTCCATAACTAAATTCAGTTTTAAGTGTTTCCCATCCTAGGAACATAGACATAATGAGCATTAATTGGGCCTTCACATGGGTCTTATTACTGTGTTGAACCGTCCTCCCTTCAAAGAACTGGCTGGATTTCCCTGTTGGATTCTGTCTGTTAGGACTGAGCCTTTCTTGTGTTTTACTGCTGTGACTAGCTTACTTAGGTAAAAAGATTTCCAAACAGCAGGTGTTATCACATGAAATGATTTTTCTCGTGATACAAAAGTAGTAACAGGATTTTGTTTTTAATCAACAGTTATTGACATTTATTGTGCCTACAATTATGATTTGTCTTGACTTCCTGAGAGATTCATTTTATGTTTGGGTTTGGGTTTTGTTTTTTTGGTTTTAGTTGTTGTTTTTTTTAATTTGGGGATTAAAAAAAAATCTCAGGTATCCCAAGATGGACTCAAATTCATAATTCTCCAGCTCTGCCTACTGACTGCTGGGATTATAGGCATGTAACACCGTGTCTGCCTCCAAAGAAACTATTAATTCTGATGAGACAGTGGATCTTAAAAGGGAAGATAGCATTAAGAAGTTTCACCCTCCCATGAGTCTTAGCAGCATAGCATTTTTCAGCATACTTCCAGAAGTTGCTTGCTAGAAATGTGGCTTAAGTGGTAGAGTACCTACCCAGCTCAAAAACCTAAATTCAAACCCCAGTAAGTATTGCCACCAAAGAGAGAGAGAGAGAGAGAGAGAGAGAAATCTTTTGAAGACTCCAAACCTTGAGGGAAAAAAAAGTCTAATATTAGTTTCTTTCATAGCCACTTGATATAACTAATTATTAGTTGGGGGTTGTAACAAAAGTTGGGATTTTTATAAGCTACTCCTTCCCTTAACACTCAAATGAGAGAGAGAGAGAGAGAGAGAGAGAGAGAGAGAGAGAGAGAGAGAGAATTGCTAGCAAAGCAGCTCAAGTGACAGATTACCTGCCTAGAAAGTGAGAGGTCCTGAGTTCAAACCCCAGCACCACAAAAAAAAATTAAAATTAAAAAATAATCAAGATGTTCTCATATCTCTCCAAAAGAGAAAATTATCATTAAACTGACAAAAGCATAATAGAAAAAGTAATGAACTCACTTCATAATTGTTTAAATGTGAGTGGCTAAGTTTATATATGAAATCTAAAAAATTTTGGAGATAAACATTTTGTTACTTTATGGTTTTATTTGCTCTAGTTAAGAAAACTCATCATCTTTTATATAGCTATTCATTTAAAAAGAGGGTAAGCCTTTTTAGGACATGAAAATAACTAGCGCTTACTTGAACATTTTTTAGGTACTAACATGAAATATTATACATCTATTAATCCATATAGTCTTCACTGAGATCCCAGGACAGAGATATGATTAACTCTCTTTGACAGAAGATTCCCAAGGTACAGAGAAGTTAATGATCTAAGCATGATCACAAAGTACAATCACCCAGCCAGCATGACTCATAAGGTCATTGTCTTCAAGTCTGTGCTACCATTTCACTAATGACTAACCTATTTCCATATTATCAAAAGTCTTCAACCTGCTGTACTATACTGTACTGTGCTGTACTATACTGTACTGAAGAGCTGAGGACAACATATCTGACATCTGTAGATTTTTCAAACTAAAGAACTGAAACTTCTCTTATCATATATGTGTGTGAATATATATGAATTTGTGTGTGTGTGTGTGTGTGTGTGTGTGTGTGTGTGTGTGTGTGCGTGTGTGTGTTTCAGTGTCTGTGTGGCTATATCAGTGCTGAGCTGAGTACCATCAGTGCCGAGTACCATCCCTGAGCTTTTTTGCTCATGGCTAGCATTCTACCACATGAGCCACAGATTCACTTCCCGCTTTTTGTGGGTTAACTGGAGGTTAGAGTTTGATGGGCTATCTTTCCCAGGCTAGTTTCAAACCACATTCCTCAAATCTCAGCCTCATGAGTAGGCAGGATAACAGGCTTAACCCACTGGCACCCAGCCTCTAATAATATTTAACCAATTCTTTGGTTTCCAACTTTACAGTTAATACTGATTCATATTCTGAAGTAACTGTACATTCTCAAGTAATTATTGTGCTCACATTACTCTAAACATCAACAATACACTAGTAAGCTGGGCAGTGGTGTGGGTATGCCTAGTCTCGGCTGCTCTAGTAACAAGGACTAGAGGATAGCTTGAGCCCTGGAGTTCTAGTCAGCCAAGGTAACACAGTGACACTACTATCTTTTAATTTTTTCTAAAAAAGCTTTGCAAACAAAGTAATACTTGAGGATTACAATGCAAAAACAAAGCTGGCAGGAGATATAAAATCTAGCTCTCTAGACAAATTCTTCTTCTTCTACATTACAAATAATCTACTGAATCAGCAGTTCCAATCTCATCTTTCTGGGGACTCACAGGAACTTCACTTTCCAGTTACTATTTGGGGGCCAAATTTCCCTCCTTGTTCCCACTCCTCTAGCTGCAATCTCTGAAATTTTGAAAACACTGCAACTTTTAGACAGTGTGGAATACACCAGAAAAGCGTTAAGAAAAAATTAATAATGGACCGATTTGAAGGATGTCTAGCAAACTCCACAATATACAATGTGGGACAAGCACAAGTTGAACAATA